TCTTGCAATTGCCTTTGACAATAATGTTTTGAGATGTGCGCCGGAAATGAGTAATCAAGATTATGCGATATTAGCAAAAATAGATTTTCGATTTCGGTTTACGAGCATTGATTGATGAGGTGAGACAGCAGCAGCCAGAAATCTTTGAACATGACGAGAGATCGAATATTTCCCCATTGAATTAATGTGATGTTTGTTTGAAATTCAATTCGTTACTGGCTCATAACTCCTTCTGTATAAGTCAGTCAAATAATTTTTGGAATGCAATTAAGTGGTAAATTATGAAGCATTTCGAACAGGTGAAATGCTAGACACCATAAGCCGGCGATTTATGAAGCTTTGGTAGCTCAACTGCAACTTGTCACACACAGAAACACACACACGCATGCTTTGCATTATTGGATGGGAAAAATCGGGGAGTATCGCTTACCCGTATCGGTTTTCCACAACAACGAAAAGAACAGAAAAACGAAGAGTACCGAACTGGGCCGCAAAATGAACTTAATCAAGTAATGACCAGGTTGATGAGGAGCGGCCACATTTCTTATGCCGTTCCTCGACGGTAACATGAGTAATACAACAGATACAGATCAGTAGCTAGACAATAAAACCAAAGCCCAGACATGGCTTGGCCCATTGCCATTAAAACCGAGTCCAAGTCCAAGTCCGAGCCCTTCTAATTGGCGCGTCCAGTAAAAAAAAAAGAGGAGTAAAAAATGCCCGGCTCTCAAAGTGGGGCATAAAACTCAACATTTTATGTAATGTGTTCATTAGAGTCGATAGCCATTCTCATCTTCCTCGACTGAATAATTGATCCAATAACACAGCGTGCCGTTGATTTTTTACAATCCGACGATAAAGTTTACTATCGCTATTCGATATTATCGCCAAATAGTTATTAATTGAGGCGTCTGCTCCAGAATTTTCTCAAGTCTATGCCATTGTCTCCTGCCTTGTTTTATTTTATGCCCATGCGAATTACCTTAATTTCTTAATTTGCATATTAAAAATCGGAAATTTTATAGATCCTATTTATGTGGCCAAGCTACACGAAAACGTTTTTCTGGTATTTTGTCCATCAGCGGAGATCCCCAGAAAAAAACACAGACAAATTAACGATCTATCCGTATTGAAACCCTTTGAACAGAGCCCATAAAAAATGTTGGAACCATCAAAATGGTAAATGCTACACAATGAAGTTTTGGAAAGGCATTTTGACCATTTGACGATGTCTGTATTTTAATTGTTGGTAGAAATGATAGGGTATTGAAAGGGTATATTAAATTCGAAATATATTAATTGACTGAATTGAAAAAAAATATGATGTCAGAAATGACCAAATAAATGTTTAATTAAATAACTTAAATATTTCAAATAAATACAAAATATACCCTATACCAGTTTATAATTATATTCCAGGGTAGCATTAATATCTTATTGTCAAACATAAAATTCCATTCCTCCCGCATTTCTTACCCAAATTAGTATAGAACTGGATGTCAGTTTGATTGCGGTTTTAGGTGTAAATGGCAATTAGCGTGATGGGAGTGGACCAACCTGGAAAATCAGATGGGATGTGGAGAGGAGTTTACATAGCTGTCGTCTAGGGCAACATTGTCACTGGACTTTAGACTTCTTGGCCTGACAGTTGGACATAAATGCCACACGCACGATCCCAGCCAATCCCAATTGCCCGCTGTGGAAAGATCAGGTCCGGTTTTTGGCCCTCTCCCCGAATCTTTCGTCTTCCGTACTTTTGGCCATAAAATCACAGAGCGATGCGCTTACAGTTGCTATCATTATTATTATTATTATTATTGAATGTTGTTCGTTGCTCATGGCGCATGGCATAAACTAACCAAGTCAACGACTGATCATTAAGCCGCAAACAAAATGTTTGTCCATTCGCATTTTCCAATTGAATTCCCGCTCATAATCTGGGATAACATTCCGTAAGCCCCTCTTAAGATCCAACCGCATAAATACGTGTTTTATATAACGCAAATTGCGTGCATAAATCAAAACCAACAAGTGGCGGGAGGATGAAGACATTTAGAAGGAGTACGAGAGGAAGTCTGGCCAACAAAGTTCCGAACCGAATGGCCAAAGATTCAACGTGATTGATAAAATGTGTACTTTTTGCAGCATTGAGCTCAAGACAATTTGGTTGGGAGGTTATTTTTAACCAAAAGTGGCAGGTTGACTGACCAGAAAGGAACTTTCGGAGAGGTCAAAGCACCGAGAGTCCTGGCAATGAATATGTATATTACAAATGCAAAAAAATAATAATATTGCAAATGCAAATAAATCGTTAAGGTGTTTGTATATCTCAGAAGTTTGAATTATTTTATTCTATTGAATTTAAAAAAGCACGTTACAAATTTTAGTTTAAAATATTAATCATTAAAATACCTACTAAGAATTTTTTTATTTCGAGGAAAAAAGTGTATCTATATATTTAAAAACGAATGTGTTTGGAAAAAAAATTGAAAAACCCTTTAAATCATCATGATTTTTGATTATCAAAACACGTTCTTGATAAGTAATCACCATGTAAAAACCTTCATACCTAATAAAAAGTATCCTTTTTGGAAATACAATGAAGCAGTCGAAATTATGTGGTAACTTTTTGCTCAGTCGGTTAACAGAACGATAAGTGCCATCTAACCGGAGTTCAGGCAGCAAGTCCAAGACCAGAGTCCCCGAACATCAAAGACCTCCCAGAGCTGTCCGCCGACTGCAGAGGAACCCTCTCATATTAACCGACACATCGGCCGACAACAGTAGCTCAATCTCGAGCTCCAAGATGAATGCAGGTGGTAGCCCTGGGGGCCGTCAAATTACCAACGTTGTTGGTGGAGAGGTACACCGGTGGCCCTGCTAATAAAGCCGTAAAATTAAACGCCAACAGGCCGAGAAAATGGCAAGTCGGCCGACCGAAGAGGCAGTGATAAACGCCCAGAGATGTTTTGAATTGTTTATTCGCGTGCAAATAATTGCAGCTCACCTGGTTAGTTGGTTAGTTGGGGCTTGGATTGTCTTGGCGATTGCTGATTGCCGATTGGCGGCTGCGCATTGTAATCAGTTTTGGCCAGGCCTTAATAATAACGAGCTTCCCGTGTTGAGCGATTTGGTTGCGGGGCGTTGAGGGCGTCAATTGGCCAAACTAATGAGCCGCTAATGAGAAAGCATCGCTGCAGGTCCCCTTTGGATTAAATGGGGATACACCTGAGCATTCCCAGATCGTAGATATGTACATATGAGGAAATCTAGTTCGCGGGGGGCGTTACTGAGCAAAAATAATTAAAATATTTACCCAAAATGCCAGATGCCAAGGCACGAAACCAACCGAATTTAAACGGGTTGCGGGCCAAAAACCAAATGTAAACGCCCCAAATGCGGGCAGGCACAATTTGTATCTACGTATCTATGTGTATCTGCAGTTGTATCTGGTATCTGGCTCTAAGGCCCACCCGACAAGGCCATAAACGTTATTTTTTTGCTCCGCTCGAGACGGCCTAAAGCTAGTAAATGAACGGAGAAATAAAATGTTAAGCACTTGTTGATTGGGTTAGGCAGAGTCGTCTCGACTAGAGCCACTGATTGAAAAATGTGGAATATGTAGAAGTTTTAATTTCCTAATGATCAATTTATTAATTTAATGAACGAATTAAGTTATTTATTTATTGAGGATGCCAAGCTCAATTAGGAATCTTATTTGAACTTTATGATTTCTAGAAATTTGTTACGAACAAATTGTTATAACATAGATTTTGCATTTTATTCAAAAGTATTTAATTTTATTATAGATAACAATCAATTTTTTATTATATTAGTTAAGTGCATCGGTATTTTGGTCTTTCTTAACGATTAATAATATAATGAATAAAAATAGTAATTAAATGTTACAACCTGAATACACTCGTTTACCAATAGATTCTTAATATTGTAAGACAGTAATTTATTTTTTAAATTACCTTAAAAATTTGGAAAATGATTCGAAAAATATTTTTTAAAAATAAAACTCCCATCGTATCGGACAATTTGGTGGCCTGGACGTTTTTGCCTTTCGCAAATCTAATCACATCCACATCTGGGGTGGAGTTTGCATTGCCACCCAACGGCAAACTATTTCTTATTCGCCTTTTCGAATGTGTCCGAACTGTCAGAAATAGCGAGAATTGCAACGGTTGTCGACAAGAGCATTAAACCGCAGAGGGAAACACAGATACATTTATTTAATTAACTTGCATCAAAAGTTGTTGAAGTATATTAATAAAACATTTCAATTTTCATATTTTTCAGCACCCAAACGCTTGCGGTACACTCACACACTCTTTTAACGCGTTAGTGGTTTTCCTATTCGTTTCCATTGTGAAACTTGTTTTTATGGCCAGTCTAGTCAATCGCTTAATTGATGCCACAGCAAAATGTTTTGGAAACAAAAGCCGAGATATGAGCAGACAAGTGTCATAAATAAGATCCCCAAACAACTCGTCGGCTCATTAGTGGAGAGTTTGGAAAACGGACGGATCGAAATCGGAATCGGAGGAGAGCTTCAAGCAGAAGTGCCGCCCGAGCTGAGATGGCAGCGGGAAAAGTCCAACTGGATCGCTCCGAGTGTCCCCGTCGATCAGGTCGAGGCCCCATGCCTGGGTCCATAAAACAAAATCAGTTGGAAATGAAAACATATCCATGCCTCGTTAGCATCCGAACTCAGCAGGGTGGTAGCAGTGCCGCAAGTGTTAGATGGAAAGTGGTGCAAGAAGAAATTTCACAAAATTTTATTGAAGAAATTGTACAAGGTGTGATGAAAAATTATTCGACTTTTTGCATCCAATTATATAAAATACTATTTTATTAAATAAATAGAAATCTAAATAAAATATAGGTTAATTAATCCTCAAAAAATATATAAATTATATTATATTTCAATTGAATTTAAAATTTGTAACTTCCTACAGCAGGCAAAGACTTTTCCCTTATCCACACAGAAAACACTTGTAACGATTTCCAAACTTTTGCATAAATTCTTTAATTTTAAGGCAAGACAACGATGCCTTCGACAACCAAGGAAGATAGGAATAAAAAGTTTATGGTGGCCAGCAGTGACTCGGAGTCGGAAAATGAGGATCTAGCCCTGGTACATATGGTTCTCAGGAAGCTAAACATCAAGGATCAAACTCTGCTTCACCGCCATTTTAAGATAGTGCCAGATGCGTTCAATATCCTTTGGCGGGAGCAACACCAACCATTGGACTTGGGACAAATGCAGTTAAAACTGCATGGTTCAAATCTGCATTTATTTCTGCAGGACATGTGCAAGGAGTTTCGGAGCGTCCATTTTCGCAGTGAGCAACTGCAAGAGGAGCTGAACATCCTGGAACAGGCGGGTATTGAACGTCTGGTAAACATAGAGACCTGTGAGATTTCCTGGAGTAAATCTTTGGCTAAGGGTAATACAAACTTTCCCCAATGGCCATTTCACGCCCTACCAAAACTTTTAAGCAACCTGACCAAACTGGAGATTTTTGCTCCAGTACAGGTCTGCTTTATTGAACAGTTTCGAAAATTGGAATCCTTGAAGATCTTTGACGCAATTTCCAGTACATCTTTAGAGGCAATTTTATCCACTGATTCACCATTGATGCAGTTACATTTACCAGGAGATCTTACCTATCAACTTGTGGGAATCTCAAAGTGTCGGCATTTAAAGAATATATTGGTAAACCTACAGACCTTTTTATCCAGTCCCAATGAGATTCTTCAGTTGCCCAAACTCTTGGTTTTGAGGCTCACTCAGCTTACAGAAAACGGGGACTCATTAAAGGCCCTATCCAAAGTGATCCAAGTAAAGGGAAGTCAGCTAAAGAGTTTTCAACTTAACTGCAGTTTTATGGATCATTGCAAATATCTAGCTCAGCTGCAATTAAATCGCTGCCAAAGCTTGGACGAACTGGAGTTGGTGAATTGCCAATTTGAGTATCAGGACATGACCAAGCTCTGTCTGCCCGCTTCCCAAAGCTATGCTATGTTCAGCAATTGCCCCGACCTCATTGATGACCAACTTTTGGACTTCATCAAGGCCAGTCCCAAACTAAAAGAACTTGTACTTGTCGAGTGCCCCAAACTGACGGAAGCTCTGCTTTATGATGTTGTAAAAGTGCGATGCAGTTATGAGAATCCGGAGACCTTGTTGTTCAGAGTTAAGGATTGCCAGGATATTTGGGATTCCTATAAAAAGAACGTAAGACCTTACTATCTTTAATTTATTATTTATTTTCAATTGACTTCGCTTTTCAGTTCTCTAGCCACTGGGATCGTAAAAGATATATACTTAAACTGGATTGCATGACGGAAGATAATACGCCCATCGATAATGTCCAGTTCATGTTTCACGAACCACAGGAAAATCCAAGAATAATTCAAGTGACTGTTTGACAGGGTTTATACAGTTTTTCAATATATGTCTTTAAAAAGTAGGGGGGAATAAAAACATATATCAAACAAAAATAAATTTATATAGGTATTATATTTTATGATTCTTAACTATTTTAGTAAAATTTTAAAGATTATTTAAAATAAAACAATTAATTGGAAAAAACCATTTTATAAAGATTTAAAGCTAGTTTTTTAAAATAACAATCAAAATTCCATAATGATATATGGGATTACATAGATAGGATCGATTGCTAAGGCCATCCATATATTCCACACATAAAGAAGCTTAGCCTGGCTTTTAGCCGTAATTAATCTTGGGTCTATCAGGTGGCATCAAACCAGTCTGTATGGACTTCTCCTCTTGCTAATTGGCCGCCTGCCATGTGGCGATTTGTCATAGTCACCGACTCCACCACGCATGCGCCACGCATGTGGCAGCCGCCTCCCTTCCGCCCACCGCCCCTGCCCCGCCACGCCCTCCTCATGCCCCCCGCCTCCTTCGATTAACCAAAAGCCACACGCAACAGCTACACGATTTTCAACAAGAAAATTTGTCATATGTGACGATGGCTTGGTTTATTCGCTTCTCGACTTTTATTTTTTCCGCATTTTGTGCGTTTCGGTGCTTTTGGCTTTGGGCTCTGAGCATTTTGTCATTGGTGGCGACCACCGTTGCGGAATGCAAACAAATTTGTGAACATGACGCAGTTTACAGCTCCAGGTCCACAACTCTGCGACTGTCGCAGTGGCCACCCATTGTTATAATTATTGGGCGCCCGTGTGCAAGTGACAATTTAGCTCTGCTTCTCTGGCTTTCTGGTTGAGCATTTGTGGGGCAAACAGTAAACCAGCGACATGTGTTGAAAGTCGTCCGAGGACAGCTGTTTTGGCCGTACTTGAAAAGGAGTTGTGTCCGAAGAGCAGCCATAAATTCCGGAAAATGGTCTTTTGGACATTTTTCAATTGGAAATGGATTGGAAATCGGTTACAGGAGCGTTATTTCAGCTTTTATGGAATTATGAATTTAATGTCCCATGAAAACCATAGTATATGCCTTCAAAAGTATAAAAAGCATTTACTCTTATCGTATATGAAATATTAGAAAAATATACAAAATAAATTAATGTTGCCTTATCATTTTCAAGTATTTAGCTTCTTAAGATCTATTAAACCATTACATCAGAGATTCAAAATACTTTATAAGAAAAACTTAACCAAGCTATATCTAGTTTAAAAGCTGACCTTTTCTTTACCCCTTATTTGATTTTAACTTTACGATTCGCTTAGAAATCACGAATGGAAAGACCTTAATAACTTTTGCGACCTCTGTCTGCCCTCGGCCCTCATTCCTTCAGTCAGTCGGACTTTGAGCCAGTTTCGGAGTGGGGAATCCGACTTGGCCAGATCCCTGAGCTCGGGCACTAATTCGTTTTCACACTTTTCATGCATCGGACAGGTCGAAATGGCTGGAGGCGCATTGGCAGCGCCTAATTTCATACGCCAGTCTTAGATCGCGGCCCCCCCTGCTACACAGAGACAAAAATGTACTAAAAAGTTTTTTCTTTAATATAAAAAATATTATCTTAGTTTTAGCAAACTACTAAAGAATTTTACACGATTTTATAATAATTTTATGAAATATATCTGATTGATATTGGTAAAAAAAAAGGATAAGTATAATATGAAAATATTAATATTATTATTTTAAAATATTTACTTTACTCTGTTTTATTTAAATGTTAGTTATAATTCAAATAGGGATTTCATTGTTATAATGTAAGGCACTTATATTTCTTATATAGTTCTCTTATCCGAACTAATTTTTCCCAGTGCACTTGACACACGTTTCCAGCCGGCTAATATTTATATTTGCCCTGCATTTCTCACTCTGCCGATTGCAAGCGATTTGATAAGCAAATGGAAATGCAGTTCGCTGGAGAAAGAGAAGGAGAAGCAGGCCAGTCGGAGTCAGACGATGGCGGCGAAAGGTGCAAATAAATAATTTGCAGTAGCCAGGCGGCGACCACTCGACGACCCACTGTTGGCCTGGCCTACCAACTGCGGCTCTCGACCAACAAAAAAAATAAACCCCACTCCGATCCACTGAAAGCGACGGCCAGACAAATATTTTATTGCAAATTTGCTGATATTGGACGACAGGCGGCCACTGGAGCAGTTTGTAAAATGCTGCTGCGGCTCTTGTCCGGCTGTTTTGCATATTAAATTTATTTTATTGAATATAGGCAAAGATTTAGTTAGATATGCGAGGATGGTTTGAGAAGTTTTTGAAATTTTCTAGCTGTTAGAATATGAACCAGAATTAATATTCATAATTTTTACATATTTACCCAAGCAAATAATATATAAAATAGAATCCTTTATGAATTTTTTATAAAGTTTCTATTCTTTAAAAATCACAAGAAAAAATTCCTTTCTTGTTTTGTACTAAAATATTTTCTTTCTTTAAGTTTTTCAATGGGAAATGATTTTCTAAACAAAAAAATAACTTTTCTTATAAAATTCTTGAATTTTTCCCTAAATATCTCGAGTAAAGTGTGTGAATTTTCCGAACCACCCTCTCGCTGGCCAGCACATGCACTTTTCCAGCTCATTGTGCTACTCTTTCCTATGGAAGCCATAGCCCCTGCCGGCGGAGTGGCGCATAATTGCCATCGGATTCGGACGCCGTGGATGAAGGAGGCCCAGCGGGCGATGAATTATTAATTGTCGTTGATTTGCATTGAGATTTGAACGGTCCGGGATCATTACCGGGACCCGCAATCTTGGCCACCGCCGACCGACCGCATATAGTGTAAACATAATAATCAACGGGCATTATATGCCGATATATGGGCGATCAGTAGAATGCGCTTTTGCAAAATGGCCGGCGGTCAGCGCGGCCCCCAATTGACACCTGAGCGGCCGAGTTGCCTATTATTTCTAGTATTATTGTTGTTACTGTTGCTGCTGCCGTTGCTGCTGCTGCCGTAGCTGTAATTGTTATTTATGCACTTGCATTTAGCCGCTTGTAATGGCATGTGGTCCGCCGCCATGCCCCCTGGGATGGGCGTAACGCCAGCAATTTGCAGTGCTGCGAACGCTTACGTAACAGTTCGAAACGCCTAATTGTGGGGCCAACGAAGCGAGGCACTATGATGCTCGAAATTAAATTGTATTGGGTCATTATCTGCCTGAAGTAAAGGGATATCGAGTTGCCTGATCTGTTGTTTTATTTGGTATTTTATTTTATAGTTTTTTTCAGAAGATATTTTTAAATATATAATAGAAAGATTTTATTAATGTCTTACCGAAAATTAATTAAAAAAAAGATCCAAACCAATAAAATTAAATAAATAAAAATATTTTACAGCATAGCTCTACACGCAAAATTCATTTTTCGCGTTTAAACTTAAAATATCTATTCAAAAGTTTTTTGTAAAACTATATGTACAATAAATTTTTAGACTAGGGAATTAGTTTCAAATGATATTACAAGTCTTTTAAATTGATGGATTTTGGTTTCTTTTTAATGTTCCTGTTGATAATGAAATGCTAATTATTGAAAAAAGTATTTAAAATTGGGTTTCCTTAATTTCTCATTATAGCGATAGTATCAAAATGGAGTTTTCTACGAAGACGACACAAAAGAGAGCAGCAAAAACGTACAAAATGGGATATGTAAATAAATCTGCTGTTTTTTTTTTGGGCAGGGCACACGCGCTTAAGTTCAACTTGAAAAAGTCGCGAATGACTACTGTGCGATCCCTGGAATCCCAAGGAATAAACAGAAAAGTAAAAAATTAAAGAGCAGCTGCCCTCTTTTGTTGTTGCACTTAAAGTCGCTAAAAACGCGGTGTGTTCGCTTGTCAAAATTGCAGCGGCTTCCAGGGTTTTTTTTATGTTAAGAAGCCACAAAGAGATGACGCAGTCGAAATGGTTAAATGAATTAACCCTTTTACTTTGCAAACACTCACACATGCAACAGGCAATACAGTGGCTACAACAACAAAAGCAGCCACTGATTTTTCTTATTTTCCTGGTCGTTGTTGTAGTCTCTGGTCAACACACAGATTAGTCTACACCGCAGAAAAAATATTTTTTGACAAACATTTCATGCAGTCTTTTTAAAATTTGTAAACATTCTAAAAATCGCACCTTTATTTACTAAAAAAAAATTAAATTAAATATTTTGAAAAAATATTTTTAAAAATGGATTTAAATTTGGAAAATTTTAAAAAAATGTAATTAAAGAAAATAAAAATTGTTCCGAGCTAAATTTTTATTAATTAAACAGCAAAACAACCGATTTTATTTGTTTTTGGCTTAAATTATAAAAAATTAGATATAATTTTTCAGTTTCAGAAAAAAGTGTAAAGTGACAGATTTTATTATCTAAAATTGTATATAAATTGGGAGTTCTGTGGGTTAGTAAAGTTAAGGTGTGCTAACATTTTGGCGCTGCATTCGCGGCTCGTGTGTACACACATTTTTTTAAATGCTTACCTTACCTTACCGCTTGGGCTACCTCTCGGCACTTGAGCTGAAGCTCAAGCTGAAGCAGCAGCAAAAGAAGCTGAAGCACGGTGGAGAATTGCGCGTAAATTCGTTGCGGTCTCCGCGTCATCAACGTAATCGCCGTCAACAGCAGTCAACAGCATCAAACTGGCAGGCAAATGTTGCTACTGTTTCCAGACGCAGTCCGTCCGGCCAACAGAAGCCACAGAAGCACCAACAGCCAAAGTGAAGTGGTTTTTTTTATGATGAGATGAGATGAGCCGAGCCCAAAGAGCAGCACTTTCCAACCGAGAGGACGGGGGGCCACAACAAAAGCGTGTCAGTCGAGTTCGGTAATGGGATGTATCTATACCTGTAGAGGGTACGAAATAACCTCCTAAGCAAATATATTTTGAAAACATTTGGAAAAAATAACTGTAGTTTATTTGTTTTACTCCAAAGGAAATAACCATACAAATTAAAAATTGGTATAATTTATTTTTTATTGTACCTCAAATAACAAACAAACTTAAAAAATCCAAAAAATTTATTTATAATTCATATTGTACTATCAAATATTCCGAGACATTTTTGTCAAAGTGGCCACGTAAACGTAGTGAGTGTGAAATGAAAAATGAGGGTCTACTTGTATCAGATGCGCCCGGTGCTATTCCTTTTCTACTTGGTTGAGATCACGGTCAATATGATCCTGATGAATTTTCTTCTGGAGAACTTCGTTTTTGTCAACTTGGCTTTGATGGGATGGTACAACTTCTTGAGCCAATTCTTTTACTTATTTTGCATTTACATTTTCACGGTGCTGTCGCTCTTTGCCAGCATAAATCTTTGCACTGGAAACCGATGTTCGATCGTCGAGGAGGTAGTGCGTCCTCTGATCGGTTTCTTTGTCTACAATATCTGCTCCTTAATGGCACTCAGCGATGCCGAGTCGGACATTTACATTCTGTACCTGGACGCGAAACCGGATGATATACTGAAGCCGGAAAAGCCACTGTATCCGTATTACGATAATATTAGAAGCCAGGCGACAATCTCCTTGGTGTGCAGTGTGATCTTCCTGCTGCACTGCCTTATCGCTGTGGATGTTCTGCTGTCGAACGAGGATTCGGATAGTGAGCGAGACTCAACGGACCCATCGGACTCCGATCCCTCGGACGATATTGTCGACGAGATGGACTACGTCCCGGTGCGCCTCTACGTTCTGGGCGGAACTGTACAACGCTGGCTGGAAAAGTTCGAGTGGTTTCAGGATTTTTCACGCAGTGGAGTCTCCAATATATGATTATTTTTTTAATTTTACAAATTTTGAAAATAAAATATTTATTGGAATGGTACAATTCCTATCATATTATATAATAATATTCCAAAAACTCTTTAAAGAGACTTGGCTACCATGAACACTAAACCTAATCTGTTTAATCTGAAATTGCCACATTTTTCCCATCCGATAAATACCAAAGGTTGGGTCACTGAAACGTAATACCTGTTATCAACTCCCTGGGTAATTATGCAGCATTTAATTTCTGTTATATGCAATGTAATGGACTACCCATCGCAGTTCTTATGACGTCAGCGGGAAGCAACAGTTACGGGCTGCATCATACAAAGCTCATTGTCGTCAATGTGTCAACGATAAGCAGCTGGGGTCTTATGTATATACATATATAACTATATCTGTATCTATCCGGGGATATTGCGCATGTCCAAAGTCGGAGAAGGAATCAATAAATTATGGGGCAGAGCGGCAGTCAAGAGCAAGGTAAAGCATTGCCCCTGGTACTGTTGGGTGTGGTGCTTTCATTCATAAAAAAAAGCTGCTGTATATAGTATGTCCATGGCCCTCACCCCGTGGGAATTACTCAAGGCTATTTTTAACGCAGGCCAACGGCTGCCGGCCGGATGTCGAGGGTTTTGAAAGAAGTTTTCCTTATTGTTCCCACAAACTATGCAATGCAATTACGAAGTCAGTCTGCAAGTCTGCAATGTTTATTTCCACAATTTTACGGAAGATGTCCTGAAGCTCATAAAATAGGTAATATAATGAGGTAACAAGTTAAAGCCAAGAAACTTAAAATTAAGAACTTATACTTTGAAATACAGGAAAATTCACATTTTTATGGCCTACTTTTCGGGGCTTTTTGATCTGATAATTTTGATGAAATAAAGAAAAAATATCACAAATTAAATTAAAAATTGCATCATTATTTTATAACACCTCATTATTCAAAACATGTGTAAGAATCTATGCTTTAAAATAATTTAAGAAGGAAAAAGTGGATGAAATTTCTTTAAAATATTTAATACTTTCTCAAGTCCTGAAATACAAAAGAAAAGTCCAGCAAGGCCATTTCAAAATAAAGCTGACTTTAAAAGCATTGCCAAAAACTGAAGAATAAATCTTCACAAAGTTCGTTTAACAAGGAGGAAAAACGTATTTTTCGCCCACGTTGAAAGCGAATGTGAAAAATACATGAATGCGAAAGGGAAAATCGATAAGGACGCCATTCCGCAGGAGCGTTGTGTCCTTGAAATCGAAAAGGGAAAGAGCCATTCATGAAATTAGCCGAAGAAATCATGAATGAAAATGGTCAGCGAGGAGTTGGGAGAAACACTTCGGGATTTGGTGAGTTTGCGCAGGATAAATCGGGTATTTTTGGAGAGGCTTTCACTGGGTTCCGCTTTTCGAAAACCCCGTTTCCCCTTTTTCAGGGCACTGACGCAACCACAATGCGCTGTTCCAAGGTCAGCGTAAAATTTCATTCATAAAACTGATACGCCCCGTGGCGTAGATATATATGTTTGTATATAGTCATCCGTGCGCGTGTAAGTTCCCGGGGAGTGGTTGTGAACTGGGCGGTTGGGATTTGGAGCCACGAATATATACTGCGGATATGGGCTAAACGAGCACTCCATTTGCAGCTTGTTGATTTTTCTACGCGTGCAAACACAAACAAAGCGGGAAACCTTTTCATTCATGAAATCAACTCAGGGGGGTGCCGAACTTCTGACTTTCTAATACCGCAACCGCCGAGCGAAAAGCTCGGGGCCCAACAACAATTTTTTGAGCGAATCCAGAAAACAATTTCGCGCTAAGCTGAAAGCAATTTTTGCCCCTAGGAATTTGCGGTAAACTTTGTCATTTGATTTTCGTTTTGAATAGGTCTAAATGCGGATGACTGTCATCTTGCCAACTGGAAAATGTCAAAGGTTATAGGGTGAATATATATATTACGTGATGTAAAGTTAAATAGAATTATTATACGCCACCGAAAATTACATATATAAAATAAAATGCAAGTGTATTCTTAAGAACCCTATATACACAAAAGCCATTAATGGCCTTTTAAAAATTTGTCCTCTATAAAGGATTAAATTATATCCAAAAGATTTAATAAGGACATCACTTAAAATTAAGTCGAAAGACAAATTAGAAGAGTATTTCATTTTAAAGCAGACTAGAGATTAAGGAAAAAAATGTTTACAAATATAAGGCCCACGAGTCGTATGAGTAATATTAGGAAAATCGATCGAAAATCCGCTTTTTCCGCTAAATATATATTTAAAATAATATTTTACCCAAAATAATAATGTAATAAGATAAAATATTTGGTGAATCTATCAGAAATACAAAACATGTTTTATTATTGGCATTTTATAGGAATCTGTGCGAAATATGTATATTATATGCGAGTATACACAAACGAAATTAAAAAGTTATCTTTAAACTTTCTTAAAAACCGAAAATGTCAAAATTTTTTAAATAAAATAAATAATTCTCTCCATTAAACTAAACACCTCCTTATGGTTATAAATACATATTATCGACGAAATGTGTTATATTTATTTAGTTTTTTAAAGTGCTTTATAACAGCCAATAGGGTAGTGTTAAATGTGACATCTCCGAAAACGAATTTACAAAGTTTTTAGAAATGCCGTGGGGCACACCGTTTCAGGGATTTTGAGGCACATTCTGATATTCTAGAGAGAACATTTCTTGAGCTATAATCTAAAATACATTTTAAATCCATTCACACTTATAATTAAAAAAAAGCATCGATTTATGGCTACAGCTGTGTCGTTTGGTTGCCGCCCGCGATTCCGGAGGTCGTTCCCTTTTCCACCATGCTGGGAATGCCCGGTTCCGATTCGGATCGCTTGTGCGTTCGCTTTGGCAGACGCTGGGTGGCCTGCTTGGCCTTCAAGCTTGCCTCTCCGCCGCCGCCGGAATCGTTGAGCAGCATCAGATCCGGCTGGCTGCGCACGAGATCCTGCTCCTGGTAAACCTCCTGGGTGGCGGAACTCGCATTGGTGTTGGTCACCTGCTCGTTGAGACAAACATCATCCAGATCCACATCGCTGTTGGAGAACAGAGCTGTGGCGCCCAGTTCCAGGGAGTTGGTAACATCCAGCTCCTGTTCGTTGAACGGGTGCTTCTTTGGCGTCGAAGTGGAGGCAATAGAGACGCGGGAGAAATTCTTACTCACATCCAGATTGCCGCCACTGGGCGGTGTCAACAGCGTCGTCACTTGCGGTGGCTTCGAGCCAATGCTATTGTTATTATTATTCGCGTGATTTTTCCCGCCCATCGAAGACGCTGCGACAGGCGCAGCTGCTCCTATAACAGGCACATTGGTCATGCTGCTCGGCGTAGAACTATTCCGCTCTGTCTGATGCTCCTTCATCAGCTTGCAGGCCTTGCCCAGCGCACAGATGGTCAGGCAAATACGCAAGCCCATGGCAAAGAGATAGGCGAGCAGGAAGAGTAACCAGGCGGCCAGGTTCTCGAAAGAGACCGCCGTATAGATGGCCTTGATCAAGACCACGGCCAGGGGAAAGGGTATGAAGCCCATGCGTCTGGCCACCAAGTCCGAGTGATCCGAAAAAGCGTGCTTTTGCCGCGTCTGCGTCATGTCGTAGGCCAAACTGGTCGTGTACTCCCGGTAAATGCTCTCGGGCAGCTCATTGAATCGCGTGATAAACGCATGCTTCACCCAATCGATTAGGATTTCCGTAAAGAGCACTGCAAAGCAGTCGGGCAGCATCACGCAGAACTGGGTGATGCTCCAGTCGAACTCCTTCATGGTCTGAATGACCACAATGAACAGCAACACTGATAAATGGAAGCGCTCCCGCACATCGCTGCAGGTCAACTGGAACAGGTTGTTCTTGTCGAACTTCTTGAACACCGCACCCTTGAGCTCCACAAAGTTGTTCGATATCATGATGGTCAGCAGGCCCTTGTTGTTCGAGTTCACAGCCACATTCAAACAGGTGGCCTGTAGAAGAAATTTAACTATAAGTTCTAAGTTTCAAGTAACTTTTCCTATACCCACCTGAAACATAATAAGTCCGCTGTGCAAAAACACATAGATCAGAGTAAAGAGAACATGCGTGAGTACGCCAAAATGTTCCCTCTTCGAGTTCTTTGGTTCGGTGGCCGTCCAGAAGAGAGCATCGATGGTATCCTGGCCAAAGGCGGACAAAAGACGGTCGCCCACCTCCAGCATATTATAGAATATATACAGCTTAATAATAGACTGCGACTTGATGATGTGGTACACTCGATTCGTGTCCACCAGGAGCATTATTAGCGTCACCGTCATCCAGATGAAGCCCTTGAGCAGATCACAGATTTCCGCCGGCGATAGAAGCCTTTGTCCACTGCTGCGAAGGCGAAAGATCCGCGCCACCGTCCTGGAAACCAGGGCCCAAATGGCCATCACAAAGCGGACGGGCAGAAAGGTGTGGATGTAGAGGAAGGAGTCGGCACACTGCATGATCCCGTAGACCATGAACCGCTCCAGATCCCGCGGTATCCGCATGAAGCTGTAGATCTTCTGCCGCCGCGCCGAATAGCGCTCCTCATCGTGCTCCAGCATATAGCCCCGGGTCATCTCCACCTTGAAGAAGTCGAAGAAGGTGTTCGTGCAGGTCTCCGTGGGTCCTAAAAGGGATATCAATTTATTACTAAGTTTTCTTTACAGAAACTTCCATTGTTTTGAATATCTATCTATAGATTTATATGTTTTTAGTTATCTTATCTTATCATTAATCTTATATTACGATTTATATTTTTTTTTGAAGTTTTATGTTTTTAAATATTAATACAACTATCCTTTTGCAAAAAATTCGATTTACTATTCACTATAATAATGAAATAATCTAAAATATTTCGATTTAAATTTAAAACCTTTTAAATTTCAATTAAACAAAAAAACCCTTTTTTTAAATGTAATTTTGTAAACCATGTTTTTTTGTGTTTAATTTAAATTTAAAAAATTTAAAAGATTTTAAATTTAAATCTAAATAAATAGTTCTAAATAGCTCGTGATCTATTTTAGTATTATAGTTAATTCATTTTACATGGTCTACCAAATTACATTGTTTAAAATAGTATTTTTTTGTTAAAAAATTTGCAAGATTTTAAATTTAAATCTAAATATTTTAGATTATTTCAAAAAAGGGTTTTCCCAATTTGAAATCCAATGTTTACCGCTATGCAGACGCTGCTGCGCTGCCCCGGCTCCCTGCGTCGCAGTCGGCGTCGCTGCAACGTCATCCTGGGCGAGCGGTGCCTTGTGCTTGATCTCCTCCTGCTGATGATGCAGCTCCTCCACTCGGCTGCCGGTGAGGTCACCGCGGAAGCGCAGCTGCCGCTTTCCGCCCGCGGAATTCAGTGAGGCGTTCATTAAGTACGGTGAGTGGAATCCATAAAATTAATAATAACAACGAGCTACGAAACAGTACGACGGAATTATCGATAATTATACAAATATACCAGAAATACCTCGCAAACGGTCACGCTAAGCTTAGCGGGGACACCCACCTAGGGGAAACCAACGTGTCTATCGAAAAAACTATCGCTAAAGTGCCGTCACTAAACAAAGCGTAGAAATTTTTTTAATAGTTTATAGAATAAAAAATGACCGCATCCGTAGAATTAAGCTCGTATCGCGATCAGCACTTCAAGGTGAGTTGGCCCTATTGTTGGTACACCAATTTCTAACTCTTTAACCCCGTTGCAGGGCTCTCGTTCGGAGCAAGAAAGGTCGCTCCGCGACTCGTGTACACTTTATGTGGGAAATCTCAGCTTCTACACGACGGAGGAGCAGATCCACGAGCTCTTCTCCCGCTGCGGCGATGTCCGGGTGATTGTCATGGGTCTGGACAAGTACAAGAAGACGCCCTGCGGCTTCTGTTTCGTGGAGTACTACATTAGATCCGAGGCGGAAGCGGCCATGAGGTGAGACATCTGTTCGCTGGGGGAAAGCCACATTGTTCCCGGTACTTGTAGAGTTTACTAGATCTGTATATAGGAAAATAACATTAAGAGCGATAGGAACACCTTAAAAATATAGGAATCTAAAGGGAAAAGCTATGATATATATTTTATTAATGGAAATAGTAATAGTAATCCATTAGAAAATCTTAAAAACTTAGTTATAGGGCATTAATATCCTTGTTAATATAGTCCATTACAAACGACTGAATTTAGAAGATCTTTTGGAAGTCTACATAAAACAATCAACTAATAGATGGATTAACTATCAATTATTAAAGGATCTGATACTTCTAAAACTAGTGTGTCTTAAATTAAGCAAATTATGGTCCGAAAGGGAATAGATTTAAAAAATAGAATATATTCTATACACAGAAAAAAACACCGATATGAAATAGGTTTATTTCTACCTTATTTAATATCAATAAAAGGCCGATATGGATTATGTCAAATTTAAGATTCAAACATATCAAGATGATATTTTATCATATCATAAAGAATACCAAATTTAAAGTTTTTTGAGCAAATAATATAAAAAAAAGAGTAATATAATCTTTATTCATATCAAAATGATATGCATAACTCGATCTTTAAAAAATATCAAAGTGACCATTACCATTTTTTTTCTGTTTATTTCTATTTATTTAAGCAATAACAATATCATCTGAAAAATGATAAAGCAGTTAAGCCGTTTTTTTGCATCATAGTATCTTTATAACAACCTTCTATTCCTTTCTCTACTCCCACAAAGATTCGTGAATGGCACCCGCTTGGACGATCGACTGATTCGTGTGGACTGGGACGCCGGCTTCATCGAGGGCAGGCAATATGGACGCGGCAAGACTGGCGGCCAGGTGCGCGATGAATATCGCACGGATTACGACGCCGGACGAGGTGGTTACGGCAAGCTGTTGTCCCAGAAGATCGCACCCAACACCGATAACCGCTAGCCCTAAGATAAGATTAACGACTAAGCCCTCACAACTAGATATTAAATGCATTAAACACCTAGACATAACATCTCTAATCGCATATATTTACTGTACGTACTACATAGTTCTTTTGAAGACGTAATTGATATCATAGCGGCCTAGCATTACTGCATGAGTTTCTAGTGTTTTTGGGAGACTGGAATCCGTTTACTTCTTGCCAATGTTGTTGGCCAGCGAGCAGCTGAGTCCGGTGCCATCGGGCTCCACATTCAGCTCGGTCACCTTGCCGTTCTCCACCACCAGGGAGTAGCGCTTGGAGCGAACGCCACCCAGCGGGGGCAGATCGATGGTCACATCCAGGGCCTTGGTGAATCCTCCGGCGGGATCGGCCAGGAGCCGCACCTTGCCGGCTGCTCCGTGCTCCTTGCCCCAGGCGGACATCACGAAGGGATCGTTGACCGACACGCAAACGATCTCGTCCACGCCCTGCTTGGACTTCAGCTCATCGGCGGAGCTCACATAGCCGGGCAAATGGGTCTGGGGGTTAAATAAAATGTTTTATTCAGTTGTTATTTGAATTACACTGTAATGCAGAAAACCCTATTTGAGAAGTTGTGAATACGGTTCTAATTCTAAATCTATTAGTTCAAAAATGCAAAGTAAATAGAAGATTTAATAAATTTTAGTGATTTTTTTAATTGATTTTGTCTATTATTTAGGAAATAACACCCTATTTGAGAAGTTATGAATATGGTTCTATTTCTAGATCTATTAGTTCAAAAATGCAATGTATATTGAACATTTTTTTAATTTTAGTGATTTTTTTTATTGATTTTTTCTATTACTTAGGAGATAATTATCCACATTTGTGCCACGAATATTATTGCAATTTATTAGTGTCAATCCTTTTAAAATCGTGCTTATTTAATTGTTCAGCAGAAAAAAATTTGATGACTAAACTACATTTGACATTTTTTTAAAATTTTATCAAAATAGTTAAAACTTAGGTATAACCTTTAAATAATTTAAAAAAATTATATTTTAAATTGAAATTGAAATGCCAGTATCTGTTTCAGAATGATATGCAAAATCATCAAAATGAATATGATTACATTTAAACTTTTTTCTTTTCGTGTAGGGACTAATACAAGAGTAGTACCATGAATAATATTACGTACCTTGGAGCAGCCGGGAGTGAAGGCGCCGGGAACGCCGAATATGATCACCTTCTTGCCGTTGACCAGATCCCCGGTGTTGATCTTGTTGGCCGGGGAGTCCTCGAAGAGGTCCACCGAGGGCAGGGAGTCGCCTACCTGGAATTTGGGGAAAGCACAAACACACACACATACAGTTAGAAAAAAAGAGAGAGCTAGAGGCAGGTGGTAACCTTGAAGCGTTGCAATTTCTCAGCCGCTGCAATCAATATTTATGCAGCTCGCCCCACCGGCTTATGTAACGGACCCCGGGTGCTACGCCAGCCGGAATTCTGAGTTCTCCGGCGACCTCCACTTACTTTGACCATGACTGCGGGTGTTCTGGATAAAGATCGCAGCGAAATGATTTGTTGGGGCAGCGCGGAGTTCACAACTCGGCCAAGAAATTTGCACGACAGCACACGCATTGCTCCTCTCTTTCTTCTTCTCACACACACACGGCCTGGCACGCACACAGTCAGGGATTGCATCTGGGCGAAAAGGGTTGCCATACCGCCGGGAAAAAAACAATATCTTCAGTCAAGTCTTAATTTTTACTATTTCATTTTTTGGGGGGAAATAAAAACAATAGGTTGGGGATAGACTCTCGTCACATTTGGGGGTGGTGGGGCAATTTGTTTGTGTTCCTAGTAAGGCTATGTGCCGGCCCTGCTGACTATACTATCCGCCAGTCGCTCCAAATCATCCAGGCTCTGTTCGTTGATTTTCCTCTCGAAATCGGCCATAAACTCGTTGGTCAGACGTTCCGCCTGGCTTTCCGGGTAGTGCTTCCGGAATCCCCGCAGGATGCCGTCCCTCAGGCAGGGTTTCATCACCACCAGATTAAGCTTGGTGCCCTCTTTGATATTAGGATAGGATGCAATTGTCTGTTCATTGTTCAAGGGTCGTCCTAGTAGCAGTAACTTTTGATTGGCCGCCGATATCTTCAGTTCCACTTCGATCTGTTGTTTCACCTCCAGAATAGTGGATGTCGGCGCCACCTGCGTGGAAAATAACTCCATTGATGACCTCATTTGATACGCTGACATGCAATTATTGCTCACCTCGATTGTGCAGTCCTGGCCCTTAAGTACTTTGATTGTAATCTGCATAGCAAAGGCCGTAAAATTTAATATAAAATATGAAATATGGCTCGCAAGCAATATAAACAATCTGGCTTTGGCGTTGCCAGCTGGCGGGAGTTGCCAGAAGTTACAAAGAGGTAGCCCTGGTTAATAAGAACAAAGTAAATATTACTTGTAAATATTTAATTTATTTTTTTAAAAAAGTATAACTAATAAATGTATGAATTTTTTGGGCTTTCACGGTATTAGAAACATAAAAGCCATGCATCTCTTTTAATAAACTATCGCCAAAGCCCTGTGTTTTTTAAAGTTAAGCATTATAAGTTTGTGTCGCGAATATAAAAGTAAATAAGTATTAAGTTGTTACCTTTAAATGTAATACTAACTTATGTCGAAAAAAATCTTTTATAAAAACTATCGAAACCCAGACAGAGTGGCAACGCTGCCGCCCCTAGCAGCCCTGGCATGGCAACTCTATTTTCTATTGAGCACCGACAACGTTGCGTGAATAAAACAGTTTACATAAATTATTATTTACAATTGCACAGGCCGTTGATGTTGTGCGCTCTCAGCGAAAAGGTGAACTTGACCCCGGTGCCGATAGACCGCCGAGCAGCTAAGTGTGAAATTCGCGAGCGAGCCTTGTGAAATTCGCACGCGAAAATCGAAGCAAATCGCAGCGATCGAAGAAATTGCAGCGCAAATAATTCGTAGCCTCGGCTGAATTTTAACGTGAGAGGCGGTGTGCGTGTGTGTGTGAGAGCTGTGCGAGATTCCGTGATTTCTGTGTGCGTGTGCTAGCGTTTTTGTTAGAATTCGCATTTTACGTAAAGAACAAGCTTTTATCAGCAGTGAATTTGATGTTGGCGAACCTATACCGCAGCAGGGGCAATTTGAAACAGTTCTTGCAGCTTCTGGCGGTAAATTGGCAAAATATGCCCCCATAATCCCGACACAGACCCTCCTCCATAAAAATATTAACCCAAAAACCCAACCTCGCCCCTTGACATTCAAAGTTATATTCGTTTCCCCCCACATACACATGAATGTATAATTAGTGTGTGTTTGGGTCTTGGAAGTGCAACTACAACTATTAATCGTGCCTAGTACACATTTTATTTTTACGCTCTCTCTCTGCCTATCCCTGTCTCTCTCTCTGTTTCACCCCCTTTTAAAACTACATATTTGCTCAGTGCTTTAACAATATTTGTGTTGAAGAATGCCCATCCTTGCACCTCCAAAAGAAATATAAAAAAAATAAGAAAAAAAACCAACACCACCCAAAAGCGCTCTGCTTCCCCCATTTTCCTCGGCATGTCTGGCAACCCTCGCAATTGGTCGGACGGCCATTGCTTCGCAACTTGTTGCTCGTCCCTCGCATCGCTTGCTCTCTTTCGCTCTCCCCTCTCTTTATCATCGCTCTCCCGCGAGTGTTTTGGCATTTTTGTTATTTATTTCCGTTTTCCGTAAGTTTTATGCAAACCGAAAACAATGAAAATGCCTGTACAATGTGTTAATGCGATAGTTCCAGGTCGATCCGAAATCGAAATTCCTGAATTCCCAACACCTGTCCAGCATTAGTCGGGGGAACGCTGCATGAACGTGTTTGGTACCGTTTAGAACCGGATTTGCTATGCTAGAGAATAAAAATATGATCGTGCTTCTGTGGGGACTTCTTGTGACAACTTTGGATCTCCGATTCGAAGCGGTTTTCCGCCATTAAGCCAATTCCAATTGGAAAGCGCGCTGAAAGAGATTCTGTAAGGTTGCTCCGCTTCCCATTGGCAGTGTGTTTACAGTGGCGGTCAAGAGAATAGTTACAAAAAAGAAGTAAAGTAAAATATGTAATTTTTCTTTATTATTATAAAATAATGAAAATTATAATAGATTTCGGTAATCCCTTAAGATAATTTTCGACCCCAGCTGTATGCGAATGTGAGTGTGTTTTTGTGGCTTTAATTGCATGGTGTGTTATTTGCTGTTGTTATTTTTCATTTAGTTATTGCTACGTTAATTTCTTTCTTTCGACACTCCACAGTGCAAATATAATTTTCAGATAGCAATCAATTGAGAGCGGTCCAGCCCGGCTGTTGTATTTGTTTGTTTGTCCGGTTGTTTACGTTTTTTTCCCTTTATCGCTGGTTTTCATTCGAATTTTTTTTTTTTGAAAAATACAACAAAAAAAAAATTAAAGAAGAGCACATCCAAAGAGCCTAAAAAAGAACCGATTGCGTATTATGGATAACGAGGCGTTAGAACCAACAACAAAGAGCAGTACGTCGGCAGCGGCGCCAGCAGCGGCAGAAATAATAACAACAACAACAGCAGGAGCAACAACCACAACTTCAGCGGCAGAATCCAAAAACGAAACGGCCACAAATAACAACAGCAACACAAGCAGCAGCAGCAGCAGCAACAACATAGTCATACCGGCATCGGCCACTAACGGTATCAAAGAGAGTAACAGTAACTTAAGTACAACAACAGCAGCGGCAGCGACAACAACATCACCAGTTGGACCAGCAGCGGCAGCAACAACAACCACAACGGCTACCATACCAATTGTGGTGACCAGCGGCGGTGTTCCACTCAGCAGTGAGGTGAGTAACTGTCCCCAAAACACCACCCACCTACACCCACCACCACACTCCCCACTCACTCTCTCTGTGTCTATCTATCTCTCTCTTTCACCTGTCGCCCTATATGCATGCCTACCGTTATTTTGGCATAAACGTAAACCTTAGAATAATGCTTACTCGTTCATTGTGTGTATATATGTGTGTGTGTAATTGGCACTCCATGGAGCACAACACTTCCTTAACTTTATCTAATCTTATCAGAACAAATGATGTGTGTTATTATCCCCCTGCTCCTCCCCTTCCTCACCAAGGTAGATTGACCAACAACAATTAGATTCCCAATGTTAGCAATTGTTAAAAGAGTGTGTCGTTTGGATAACAAATCGAATCAGAAATCTATCACAAGTGCTTGACAAGCCAATCAGCACTTGTTCCCATTCCCCATTACCAATTCGACAATTTTTTGGTGGGAAATCTGAAGATCGGGGAAACATAGAAATCTCTTTTTACTTTTTTTAAAATTTTAATGAAAAACTTTTTACCATTTAGAAATTGAATGCATAGAATTTTATTATTTCAATAAATTATGATTTTTTCAATTTAAAAATCGTTCTTTAAATTATATTAGCTTGAGTTTTACGTTTTGATCACAATCTTTTTCATTTAACTAGATTTTGTGACTTTTTAAAGCCAACTATATATTGGTTAACAAAACACGAAACTTGCTTACGGTTCGTGGCTCCATTTTTAGTAAATATTTTCAAATTCACATAGCCTTTTATTAACCGAGGCAGCACTTTGATTTTGAAAACTGCAAGAAAGTAACCCTACAAAATGTTACGAGAAATACACACAAGTTATATGCATAACCTGAGATTGCGACACCACCTGAACCCTGGTAGACGCCAGCAATTAAACCCAATATGTGTATGGAAAGCCTTCCGAACTCCGAACTCCGAACTCCAAGCTCCCTGACCCAGTGCACATCTCTATGTTTGGCATTACTAAACTCAGACTAAAACACACCCACAGGCAGCTCGTCTTAGGCGTCAAGGATTCGCACAGTCCAAGGTAAAAGCGATCGCCGAAATGGCAACGAAGGACCCCATCTGCTTTGCTCTGCTTTTGCAAGTGCTACGTTTTGAGTATGCTTTCTTTTTGGACCGTATATTGCTTTGCATTCGTTGTTACAACTATTTTCATTTACTAACCATAAGCCATACCAGTTCACATGGGCAAAGATAACAAGAAATGTGTTAATTGTGCGCTCTTGCAGGCTAACAAAGACAAGGACAGCACTCCACCTCGGGATGCACCGCCGCCCACGCCGATCACCAAGGGTCTGAACCTCACCGGCACTCCGCTCGTCCGCAAGGAGAAACGCCAGACCAGCGCCCGTTACAATGCGTCCAAGAACTGCGAACTGACGGCCCTCAGTCCCCTGAACGAGAGTGAGTAGCCCCAAAATGACATATTACTTTATAATACAAGTATTTCTAGTAAATCAGTTGGCTATCTCCTAAACTTGCAGATCGGTGATCCTATACAACTGTTTGTTGTACCATACTTTTCGGGGCAAAGATCCTCTCTGAATAATTTGGAAAATCTCAAAACCTTTATTACAACTTTTGTAAGGGATCCGATCTGCAAGTTTGTTGAGAAAAGTAGTCGGCAAGCCGATTATGAAAGCTTCTTCTAGCGGCGCTTGATTAATTTCGCTCAGCTGTTGTAATTTGCTTATTATTTGTTAATCACGTACGCTAAAGTTAAAGGTCAAGGGAGTGTCGTCTGATTAGGTGGGTGGCAGCACTGACGCACGGCCCACTCACACACCCGCACACTCTCAGCGGCATAATTTACACCTCTCGCAATTTCTCTTTCTCCATCTCCGAAACTTCAACACATGCGCTCTCTCCGCAGCCTCTTATACACTGGAAAAATCCATGTTGTAAAATCATTTTGAGACACAAATACCAGCATTTCCATTTCATATATTAAAAACATACATACAATCGATATTTTTAAACATATCAAAATAATATTTCAGTCAAAAAATCCAAAAAGAACCAAAAAACCTTGAGCAGCGGTGGTTCAACAAATCAACATATTTACAGGAATTTTTAAAATTTAGTATTCATCTTTATCAGCTTAATAGCCACTTGTTTTTTTTCTCTGTAGTATTAATGTCATCGGATTGTTATTCACTTACCTTTCCGCTAATTGCCTTGGCGGTTTTGACTCACAAATCGAATAAACACATTTTGCTTGTTCAATATTATCGTTTTATTAGGTTTAATTGTTATGGCGGCTCTCTGCAAACCGCTCTCCCAATCGCCCAACCACCCACTCACTCCCTCTCTCTCAATTTCTCTCCATTTCGTTCTCTCGATATCGATTTTTCCGATTGCCGCAGCAGTCGAAGCAACAAAAAGAAACCGTTTTCAAGACCGTGCGTGCAACATCGAGTTCCCCAAAAACTTGAATATTAGTTGAAAATATTTGTTCCCCTAGTTAATTGCTCTCCTCTCCATTTCCCTGATTTCCCCCCCTTCAAATCGTAAGTTTTTATACATTTTTAAAGCCCATTTTAATGGAAAATGGAAAACTTTTTATCAGAGGCGTTGTTGTTCATTTCCATTACCATTTTCATTTCGATTGCATTTCATTTCGTTTTATGTTCCCATCAACGCATTACCGCATTTGGCATTAATCTAAAACCATTATCTATATTGCAATTCCATTACAGATTCTATAGTTTCATGCTTAGCGTGCCCAAATTGAGTTTCTAGTGTAGTGTTTCTCATGTGTTTGTTGTTGGTCGGCGGGGGCGGCTGAAAATAAAAAAAATAGAGGAAAAGAAAAGAAAAGAAAAGAAAGGCGTTTCGAAAGGAGATTCAAACCGAGTGCCATTTGTACCAAGTGCCGGCACTAATGAGATGGTCTTCGGTGCTATGCTGCTGACGGGCAACGGGCTCAAAGGTCCCAAACAGCAGCAACATCAGCAGGAGCAGCAGCAACAGCAACAGGAGCAACAGCAGCAGCAGCCACAGGAGCAATCGAAACCGGCTGCCATTAGATCCTCCAGCAAGGAACAGGATCCGCAGCCCATTGCCGCCGGGTATTATGCCCTTGGCATACGTATACCCAAGTCGCCATCGTTTCACAGTGGCCTAGATCAGCTGGCCGACGACGAGTTGGAGGATCAGGATCAGCAGGAGGGTCAGGAGCAACAGCAGCAGCAACAGGCCGGCAGCAGATTCAAGTTTACCAGCGTGGAGGAGCTGAAGGCCAAGTTCGAGGGGCGGAAAACGCCCCTCTCGCCGCCCGAGGCAGCAGGAGCAGCAGGCGGATCAGGAGCTGCCACCACATCCTCCTCACCCTCATCCTCGTCCACCAGCTCCAATTCCTCGGCCTCGGCCCTCTCCTCGCTCTCCCAGGCGGCCTCATCCTCGCTAGCCTCGGCGGCGGCCAACTCCTCGGCCTCCTCCTCGGCGGCCACGTACGGTGGTGGTGCTAATTCCGCGGCAGCTGCTCTGATTGCCTCCTCGCCATTTGGATCGCAGTCCTCCACTTCCTCGTTGTCGCTATCCTCGAATGCCGGCATGTCGAAGAACACGGCAGGAGCAGGATCGGGAGCAGGATTGGGTAGCTCGACGACATCTGGCCCAACTGCATCTAGTGGCAGCTCGCTTGTGTCCACTTTGGCTCAGCACTTCTCGGCGGCCACATCCGCCGCAGCTTCGGCGGCAGCCGCTGCAGCCTCCTCCGCCTCGGCGGCGTCCTCCTCATCAGCTTCCTCATCCACCGCCGCCAACAACGCAGCCAGCTCCATCGCCGCCAGCAAGGTTTGCAGCTTGGATTTGTCAAAACACACACACTCAGCGAACAAAACACCCAAAGAATCCACAATCTGAACCACAAATAACCACATCCGCACCACCGAAATCACAGATATGACACTTTCTTCCAATCTTTAACTGACTGAATTAGCTTTTGGGATAAGAAAAAACAGATTATAATCTTGTTTTTAAAGAAAAATCGTTTAAACAGTCTCTATTTCCTTGAGAAGCACTTTTATCTTTCAATAAAAATACAATTTTTGAACCTTGAATTTTATATACTTAAATTAGTTAACAAAAAATCCTTTTTAAAAATAAAAAAAATACCTAAAGTTTAAACATTGTTTTAGAAATAGGAAAAAACAGATTATAATTGAATTTCTAATGAAGAATCGTTTAAAAAATCTACATTTCCTTACAAAGGGAACCTTGTATTTTATATACTTAAATTAGTTAACAAAAAATCCTTTTTAAAAACAAAAAAAAATACCTAAAGTTTAAACATTGTTTTAGAAATAGAAAAAAACAGATTATAATGGAATTTTTAATGAAGAATCGTTTAAAAAGTCTACATTTCCTTACAAAGAACTTTATTTTTCACTAACAATTTAATTTTAGAACCTTGTATTTTATATACTTAAATTAGTTAACAAAAAATCCTTTTTAAAAACAAAAAAGTTCCTAAAGTTCAAGCTTTGTTTTAGAAATAGAACAAATTTCCGTTTTTTTTTTAACAAAAAATCCTTTTTAAAAACAAAAAAGTTCCTAAAGTTCAAGCTTTGTTTTAGAAATAGAACAAATTTCCGTTTAAAGATCTCCTTTAAGTTAATCCAGTCAGTTGAATTTCATTTAAACCACACACTTTACCCTCCTCCTGAATTGAACGAACCGAAAGTTGATAAACCAAAAAACTACTCTGCTCTCATTTCATCGCTACCTCATCCTCCAGTCACCTGTGAGCGCGGCCGCGGCCATTAAGAACATACTGAATGCCACCAAGAGTGTGGGCACCAGTGCTGCGGCGGCGGCAGCAGCGGCGGCCACCTCCTCCTCCTCATCAATCTCATCATCCTCATCCTCCGCGCCGTCATCGGTGGTACAGGTGCCTTCGTCCCCCGCCGCCGCCGTCGTTGCCATTTCCACAATCAGCGATGTGCCCGCAGAGGAGCTGCGTCCGACGGTGGCCCAGAATCTGGTGGGCGGCATTAGCATCTCACTGGGAATTGGCCAGCGCAATGGCGGTGGTGCCGCCGCCGCACCAGCAGCGACATCGAGCGCCACCCTGGTGGTGACCACATCGAGCCTGAGCATCCGGCAGAACGGTGACATACTCCCGGGTCATCCAGGAGGTCATCCGGCGGCGGGTCTCCAGGCATCGCCCCAGACGCTGCAACAGCTGACGGGCAGTCCAGGAAGGGCTCGCGACCGGAATCTGTTCTACTCGCCACCCACCGCTTCGGTTGCCATGGCGCTGCCTGCACTGCGAGGTTGCTATCCCAAGTGGTTTCGGGCCAAAGGCTATGGGATGGGTTACGATCCTTGCAATCCCCATTGCCCTTGGGCCCAGAGGCCTCCTCTCCTTTCTTCTGATCTTCATTAATTTCGTTTTGAGTTTCGCTTGCTTGCTTTTGTTGGTCGTTTAGTAGAGTTGTACGTTTTCTATATATTTTCTAATAAGATTTGTTTATTTTTGGTTATTTTAGATGATATCTATCTGTTATGATTAGGAAACTAATTATATTTCTATTTGTATTCCCCTAGAAACGGCCGCCAGTGAACGGGAGGAGCTGTTCATACAGAAGATCCGACAATGCTGCACACTATTCGACTTCTCGGAGCCGCTGAGCGACCTCAAATGGAAGGAGGTGAAGCGTGCGGCCCTGCACGAAATGGTCGATTTCCTCACCAACCAAAATGGCATAATCACCGAAATAATTTACCCGGAGGCGATCAATATGGTTAGTTCAGAAAATATGTTAGGTTCATCCTTTAATATATCTACACAAAAAAAATGGTAATGGTCAATTAAATATTATTTAAAGATCAAGTTATTCATATCATTTTGATATGAATAAAGATTATGTTAATCTTTTTTTATATTATTTGCTCAAAAAATACTACATTTGGTATTTTTTTGATATGATAAAATATCATGTTGATATGTTTGAATCTTAAATTTGACATAGATCATATCGGCTTTCTATTGATATGAAATAACGTAGAAATAACCCTATATATAACCCTATATTTTCTTCTTAATTCCCACCAGTTTGCTGTCAACCTTTTCCGAACGCTGCCGCCATCCTCTAATCCGAATGGCGCCGAATTCGATCCGGAGGAGGATGAGCCCACGCTGGAGTCTTCGTGGCCGCATCTACAGCTTGTCTACGAGCTGTTCTTGCGCTTCTTGGAGTCACCCGATTTTCAACCAAACATGGCTAAACGTTTTATCGACCATCAATTTGTATTACAACTATTGGATTTATTCGATTCGGAGGATCCGCGAGAACGTGATTTCCTAAAGACTGTTTTACATCGCATCTATGGAAAATTTTTGGGCTTGAGAGCATTTATTAGGAAGCAGATCAACAATGTCTTTTACAGGTTAGCTTGCTTTTTTATAAACGTATATAACCTGATTTTAATACATTATTTACTTAGATTTATTTATGAAACGGAGCATCATAATGGCATAGCCGAATTGTTGGAAATCCTGGGCAGCATTATTAATGGCTTTGCTCTACCGCTTAAAGAGGAGCATAAACAATTTTTACTTAAGGTATTGCTGCCATTGCACAAAGCCAAGAGCCTCTCGGTCTACCATCCGCAGCTGACCTACTGTGTGGTGCAGTTCCTGGAGAAGGATCCTAGTTTATCCGAGGCGGTCATCAAGTGAGTAGAAGATTAATACTTTTCTTTATAAAATTAATATATTCTTCTAATATTTTCGCAGAAGTCTGCTTAAGTTTTGGCCGAAGACGCACAGTCCCAAGGAGGTGATGTTTTTGAACGAGCTGGAGGAGCTCTTGGACGTTATCGAGCCGGCCGAATTCCAGAAGGTGATGGTGCCGCTCTTCCGCCAGATAGCCAAGTGCGTCTCCTCGCCGCATTTCCAGGTGGCCGAGCGGGCGTTGTACTATTGGAACAACGAGTACATTATGTCGCTGATAGCGGACAACTCGGCGGTGATATTACCCATCATGTTTCCAGCGCTTAACCGCAACTCAAAGACGCACTGGAACAAGACCATCCATGGTCTAATCTACAATGCGCTCAAGCTGTTCATGGAGATGGATCAGCGGCTTTTCGATGAGTGCAGCAAGAACTACAAACAGGAGAAGCAAATGTGGGTTTTACATGTTATAGGAAAAATATTCTTTAGAAATTTTTTAACATTTTTAATTAATATCTAACTGTGTGCAACTTTGCATTGCAGGGAGCGCGAGAAGCTGTCGCAAAGGGAGGAGCTCTGGCAGCAGGTGGAGAGCTTGGCCAAGACCAACCCGGAATGGACGAAGGCGGCCCGCTTTAACGACTGCCTGCCGCCCAGCGACAGCCGCGCGCTGTACGATCAATATAGCGAGAACAGCGATCTAGGCTACGATCAGAGCGAGCAGAAGGCGCGCCAGCCGCCGCCTCCGCTGCCGCCACAGAAACAGGCGCTCCAGGAGCCCCGAGAGGTGAGACAGGCACTTGCCACACTAACCACACTAAACAACTACTAATCCGCCACGTGTGATCCTGGCGTCCGCTGTGAGCTGTGCCCAGCTAAGGCCCACTCTGGTTCAACTCTAATTCTAATCGAACGAATGTCTGTTAAAATAATCACACTCATGTCATTTAAAAAAAATACATATTTGTATATCTTTAACGTTGTCTATTTATTTATTACCTATTTGGTTACCTCACTGTCTGCCAACCTAAACAAATCCATGAATCTCCATCCACGACACAGAAACTATCTATTTGTGTGTCTAACATTTGGCTTGCACTTTTGGTTGAGCGCAGTGGTTCACCTCATATGAAATCGGGCGGAATCCATATATTAATATTATATATTACTTAGTAGTTACTAATATTTTGCATCATCCAACAAATCATTTGTGGTCTTTCTTAATACGAGAATTTGTCCCTCTTGTTACACTAATTTTGTTTCCATTTTTAATATATTTTAACTTGAATTTAAATTGAATTTAACTATTTCCTTAAATATCTACCATTTTCGAGCATGACTCTAAAAGTCTCTATAGATTTTGATTAAAAACAAGAGAGAACGCTATAGTCCGGTTTGGGGTCCCGACTATCTAATACCCGTTACTCAGCTAAAGGGAGTGCGAGGTAGATGGATATATACAATTTTAATTGCGCATAACTTTTTAATGAATGGTCCGATTTGAAAAATGTCTTCTACATTTCGATAGGTATAAATATACACAACAAAATTGCATTTATACTTCTCGGAAATCTTTAAAGGTTTGGGCGTCAGACACATTTTAAAATCGTTAGTGGGCGTTAGAGGGGGCGTGGCGCTCGCCTGAAATAAACTTGCTTACTTTACGAGTAACGGGTATAATTAGTTGTTGACATTACACCAATATTATATTCATTGTTTATAGCCAATTATCTTAATGTGTCATTTCTGAGTAACTGTTTAAAAATAACCAAATTGACTCACGGGGCTTAGTATTTTTAATTACTATCTTATTGTATAACCATTTAGTTAACAACTCAACACCCTAAACAAAGCACACTTAAACACACTCGATCTCTAAAGTACTTTGTAATATACATAATTCGTCTACCGTGTTAGTTGCTGTACAATTTGTAGTTATGTTGTCCAACTGGTGGGCAACTTGGGCTCCACCAAATCTAAAACCAAGTCCGACTTTCTCGGGTTCCATCAAGCACTCACACCAGATAGATCGTAACCTAAATCACCCTGCACTACCGTGTAATCTTCACCCGTCCAGTGTGTGTTGAGATAGGTCCTTTTTCTATTGCCAAACCATTCCCGTTCCACACAGATTCGGGGCGAGCGGAACAAGGACAAGCCGCTGCTGCGCCGCAAATCGGACCTGCCGTCGGATAGTGGAACCGTTAAGGCGCTCATCGAGCACAAGCGAACGGATGAGTACCTCACCACACCGCCGCCGGATGGAAGTAACTACTAGAAAACCCCCGGTCAGCCGACGCCACCATTATTATACCTTTAAAGCCCGAGGCTTTGGGGAAATAGTCCAGAAAATACCCAACCACACACACTCCAAACTTAGGCCAGAAAGCATATATTATAAACAACACGCCCAGAGGATGAGGATAGTAGCAGAACAGCACAGCTAGATCAAACAATTTAAAAACGATGCCTCGGTGTCATCGCATTTGCATTTTGGGGCTTAGAATGCAACACAATTTCTTTATAAATAAAACATATAAACATACAAATACCTATCTATAATGAAAATGCATAGTACCAATAAATATCGAAAATCCTAAACGAGATCGATTATATATTATTTTGTTTTGCCAATTTTAAGTTTACTTTTCGCATGCCACAGTGAAACCTAGCTTTTATTTTCCGTTTGCATTTGCATGATGCTAGCGATGCTTATAAAACTATAGCCTTAGAAATTCGATCAGATATGCAATAATTTTTGGTATCCTTATTATGCTCTTACCATTTCAGTAAACACGTGAAAATATATAATTGTACAGTTGAATTTGAATTTTCTAACTTAAGACGTAGGCGTTTACCACCTTGATTGAGTATATCCCTCGACTTCTGCCACATACTTCGACATAGCTATATGACATCCACCCGACATGCATACACAAACATACTAAAATTTACGAATATTATATGCTATTTAGCTTAGCAGTTAGCAGCTTACCCATAAATATTTAAATAATACTAAACGCCCAGAAGAACAGATAAATTGCGGTATGTACATGTGTGTATTTTTGTATGTATTACAAATTAAATATAGAAAATATATGTGTGGACAATTGTATTCCTAACGATCGACAACACGGAATTAGGAATTTCGAGGATGATTCTGCAGAGCGTGAAGATATAAAGAATGTGCCAATATCTGGGCCCCTAACCACAGTTAATACCCAGCAGAAGAATATAAATATATATTTATAGGCATCCTTCTATCGCATCTACCAATCCCCATTCATTCACAACAAGAACAACAACAGACTTGGACTTTGCTGGTCGTAGCATCTACTTCTATGTGTTAATCTAAATGTATACCTATTTAATATTGGATCCATGTCAGCCACTCGTTGGGTTCCATAGTCATTACCGGGTCCGTTAGACAAGGAGTTATGCAGATATTCTCAAACAAAATTCTAGATAAAGGCGACGAAGCAGATCAAAAGTTTTGCTACCACTACCAAGTGCTGTACACGCCAAGAAAACGAAAGGCTTCAGTTTAGCTATAGACACAAATATATATTATATATTAAAGAGATGTATTTACATATTTTTGGCATTATAGATACATACACAATGTGGAAAATTGCAAAACAATAATAATGTGGAAAGGCAAAGGGAAAGTAATTCTTAGAAAGGCAGATTTTTTCATACAGGAAACGGTGAAAATCAAACTTTTCAATATAAGAATTATAAATGTAAAAAAAAACTATAAAATATTTACTAAAAGTGAAAACAATAAATAAAACGAGTTATACACCTTTAAAGAAATATATGTGCAAATTGTAAATGGAGCATGTAATTTTGTAAAATTATAAATAAAAGTTTATCAAGTCGAGAGAGAGATTTTGAACCTATGCCCCAGGCGGCGAAACTTAAGATTGAGGGAACATTTACAGAGCTGCCTAATTACAAATTAAATACAATTACAGAAACTAGATCAGAATCCGGATGGATAGAGATGTCATTTGGCCACTTATTGCATAAATTCATTTACTGGAACTTCTCGGTGAGTCCTCGCGTCTTTATAGCCATCTCAGATAGATGCTGTTGCAACAACCTCTTGTTGACCTTTTCCCTGTGGATTAAAAGGCATAAAATTGCATTATCTTTAAAGACAACCCTGTAGTAGCTCAACTCACTTGACTATTAGGGCCGTGTAACGAGTTTTATCCGCTTCGGTTATGAGCTGGGTGGGGAAATTGGGTGTTGCCATCAGCGTCTTCATCCAGACGGCCATCTCAGCGGGATATTTCTTGTTCATGGCCAGCAGGATGTCGGCAAACTTGTCCACCTGCGATCGCGGCGTTAGATAACCCACGCACATCATCGCCGTGTAGAGGGTCTGTTCCCCGGTTGCCAGTATGACTTCGGTGACATGCGGATGGTTGCGCGACTGCATTACGAAGTGGGCGAGGAACTGGATGCTGTTCCGGATGGCTCCACTTTCCGGCAGGGTCATGCCCCGCTGGGCGTAGAACACCAGTCGATCGTAGGCCAGTGTCTTGTCCTCCAAGACTTGTGGGATCTTCTTGACAATCTGCGACAGACAGCCGAAGAAAGTCTCCATGGTGTCCGATATATTGGAGAAGTTCTGCTCGGGAGTGCTCTCAAAGAGCTTGAAGCTGTGCTGTATGAACTCCCTCAGAAGCTGCTGCATCAGCGGCTTGCAGCCCTCGTCCTTGAAGAACATGACAATGGCCTGGAATAAATGGGGATTTAATTTAACTTTCAGCCTTTTTTTACAGTCTAAGAACACTGACCGTTTTTGATATCTCTAGAGTGGGTGCACAGCAACGGGTCTGGAAGCTGGCCACAATAAAGAGGCAAAGATCCTGCAGCATCGGCTGGAAGCTGCTCCTCAGATTCATGATTGCATGCTTCATGGCGCTGCAAGCGGCCTAGAAATAATTTTTTAAGTTAAAAAGTTATATTTTAATAGACAAGTTGATATTTCTACCTCTAGGACATCAATTTCCTCCACCCACATCTCAGCGATTCTCTTAAAGATGGGCATTGTTCGCTGCATGACGAGAAGAACTGGCTGCACAATGGGTAGAGCCTTGGTCTCATCATCCACATCAGTGTTCAGCGAAGAGAAAAGGGTGGAGATCATATTCAGACGGAAAATGGTTCGAATCCGAGCGGCGGGAGTTTTCTGTAGGAATATATTGTATATTATATATTTGTAATAAATTTAAGTGATCATATACTTACCGACTCTGCTTGGCAAATGGCCTGTAGCTCCTCGAAACACGGACTCACGATGATGTCCAAATATTTGGGTATTTCCTCCGGCTGCAACAGGCTCATCAGCTTGCCGATGCTAAACATGAGCCGCACCGAGTCAGAGTTCTTCATGCGTCCCGTATTGAGGGAGGCATGGCATGCGTTTAACAACGGATCCGCGTACGGCTTCAGTTGCAACTGACAATCGCGGCACAACTCCTTCAAGCCAAGCGTGGCTTGGGCGGACATCGAGGAGTTTAGGCCGCGCACCAGCAGATTGATCGCTGGCGGAATGTAAGCGGGATTCTCCATCAGCCAATTGCAATAGGAGCCAATTGTTTCTAGAGCGGTGCCGAGTAGCTTGACGTTGAGCTTCTCGTAGGGAATCTCGGCCAGGACTCGCATTAGCCTGGGTATCTGGCGCGACTCCTCGCCACCAAAGTGTTCGGCCACCGACTGGAAGGAATAGATGCACGCCTCCAGCTTCGTCCAGTGAGTCGGATGCCTTTGCAGATCAGCAATGGCCTCGTCCAGCATGGCGGCTAGGATTTCTAGGATGTAATCGTTCAAGACATCATAGCAGTACATCTAAAAGAGTAAAGTGGCAATTTATCTTAATAAATGATAATATAACAACCTATCTTAACCACAAATTCATTTACAAAGGCCTCGGATTTTGCATATTTTGTATAGAATAACGATAGATCAATTCCGAAAACATTAAAGTTCCTTTTTTTAAAAATTATAGTTTAAAATTAATGGAATATTCTAATTTTTTTTGCATATTTGCATAAAATGCTTATACATAAAATATGCAAGAGACATGCATAAATTCAAATTTTGTTAAAAATCGGACCAAAAAGGGAAAAATATGCAAAATCCGAGGTCTATTAATAAATAATAATAAAACAACTTATCTTAACCACAACTTCATTTACAAAGGCGTCTCAAATACTGGAGGCATCACTGTTTTTAGCATCACAAACCAGTTCGTCGCCATTAAAACTTGCCAGAAAAAAAACTATAAATTATCCCAAGAACTTAATAATTAAATACAAAATGAACAATATTTCAGTCTCCTAACTTAATAAATAACAATAGAAAAATAAATTATAGTAAATTAACTTATTTAATTTGGTGCCAGTTAAAAAGCTCTATTTCAACTAGAACAGTCACTCACAAAGGTATCTGATATATCCTGCCTGTAGCATCTGAAGCACTCCAAATCATCAGAGTTCCATTTGGCAAGGGACTTCTCATCTGGCTGCTCCGACTTCCTGACCAGAATTCTGGTCAGGTGGGCGTACAGTGGTTTAATGTACTCCCAACACTTGTGCTTCTGCTCATCGTTTTGCATGGCGAAAACTTCGTCCTGCAGCATATACCAGAAGGCCAGAGCCATGGTGCTGCAGGATTCCTCCACCGGATAGATGCCCGGCTTGTCGGTGCAGTGGAGTATCTCCTGCACAATGCGATGCACCAGCACAGATAGTTCCGGATCCGATGATGTAATTCCGCTTAGCAACAACGTAGAGTGCCGCTCTACGGACGACACAAACAGCATGTAGATGTGCACGATGATGTCCTCGTTGTCATTCTCCCTCTTCCACTCCGTCTTGGTTATTTCAGCCAGCGAGTCCAGGAACATCTTGATGAGCACAAACGCGGTCTTCGGATAGTTGTGACAGTCTGGCTGAATTATGATGTTTACAAGGGTCTTTAGACACGATTCGGCCAACTCGTTCTCGTCGGCGGTCATGCAGCCATCGCCGGCATGAATGCAGGGCCAGTAGCACTTGTGCACCACTTCCAGGAGCACGGCGGTGATGGTGACGCAGCCCTCAATGGAATAGCCGATGTTTCTGGGGGAGAATATAATAATAATTAGAATATAACTTTCAAGGAAACTTCTTCCTAAAACCTACTTAATCCAGGTGCCCACGCACTTGACAGCCCTATTCATATTGCTGTATGCTTCGGCGTCCCAAACACGGTTCATCTGAAGCTTAAGATACCGCTCGGCCGTCTGGAGCACCAGTGGCACTCGCTTGCCGATCTCGGCGCGCAGCGTCACCCTCTTAACAGAGGTATGGATGACCTGGGCCTCCTCGGGAATGGCCTGCAGCACCTCCAGCATGATCCACAGCTGCACATCGGCGCTGACATTGGGCATCCGCTGATTTTGGAACGTGTTGATCACCTCCTCGATGGCGCCTGGCCATTCGCCCAGCATGTGGACTATGTAGGCGCCCAGCGAGATGCACAGACGATTGAGGACGATCTTCGGGCCGCCGGCAAAGCGAACGATGGACTCGAGGATCTTCTGCTTGAGCTCCTCGCGATTCTCGGGCGGCACTTCGTGCCAGTGCTTCATCAGCTTCGAGTGCAGTGTGATGGCGCCGAAGAACTGCACCTCCTGACTCTGGGTGGGTGGTTATATATGTGGGGGAGTTGGGAGGTAGGTGCATGAGTATACATATCCGGGGCAATTGATGCATTGATGCGCAGGTCCTGCTGAATACTCACCTTGCCGAGCTGCATTAGCTGCCAGGAAAACTGCCAGGCCTGCGGACTAGCCTCTGCGTCCGTCAGCCATTCGTGGGTGATCGCCTGGTTCTGCGAGTTGGAGCGGTAGAAGGAGACGACGGCCTCCTCCAGGCGCACTATGTCGATGGGTTCCATGTGTGTAGATTGCGATGGCTGTTGCTGCCGAAGGGCAGGCTCCTGTCCGTTAATCCTCGGGTGGTGGTTTTCTTGCTTGCTGCGAGCTCTGCTTCCTCTTCTCTTCTGGATTCGCGAGTGTGACCGTTGGGCGAGGTGGTGAATTGCCTTGAATCGCAAAGAATGCGTTACGGTCACTCTTTTCCAAAGTGGGCGCCAACTCTTTTTAAAGCGGGGTTCTCGGTTCCGAGAGATATTTACAAAACAACTGAATTTTAAAATGAACCGTCTCGGCCTAAACCGCTAAAAATTAGCGTGAGCTGGCGCGAAATTACATTTTTGAATCGAGGTTCTCGGTCCCGAAAGATATTTACAAAACGACGAACAAAGAATTTTAAAATGACTATTAAGTTAGACCATCTGGGCTTAAACCGCTAAAAATTAGCGTTAGCTGTCCCGAAATTTCATTTTTAAATCGCAGTTCTCGGTTCTGAAAGATATTACAAAACAACTGACAAAGTCGCTAAAAATTAGCGTTACCTGGCACGAAATTTCGTTATTACGTTGACTGTCGTATCGGAAAGAGTTCAGAAATTTAGAGTATCGAAAGTTGACAAAGAATTTCGAGATAAACTAACAATCAAAATGAAATTTAAGTTGCCACCAACAGTATTTTAGCTTGGAACAGGTTTCCGATATGCGGTTCTTACTCTCCTCGTCGATATATAACTCTAGAACTTGGTTATCGCACAAATCGGTGACCTGGTCGTACTTGGAGCACTCACTGTCACATGGATCTAGAGGATACCGTTCCACGACACTCCACTTGTCGGTGACAAGATCGGGATTCTGCATCTCCAGCAGGTCGAAAACAGAGCACAAGGCTTCTCCCGGAATGACCAATGGCAACACGAAGGAGCACCGTATAAGATCGAAGAAGTTGATGAATGTCTGTGCCGCATGGGGGGGACACATGCTCTCGACGACGCTGATCACCCAATCCGCGGTATCGTCGTCCTCGCAGACTATAAGGACACTCGAATCGAATGATGCCATTGAGGTGCAGTCACTGAATTTCAGACCACTCGAATCACCTTCTTCCATTAGTCGACCTATCTGCTCAATCAGTGCGTTTTGGTCCACATCCTCGCACCTATCCATATTGCTGATGACCACTCCATAGCGCCGGTTTTCGGGCATGGTCTTGGCATAGGGCGGTCGGTTATCCGGCTTGCCGCACTTGTGCTGCCGGCAGCAATCCCTCTGCTTGTCCTTGCACTCTGGATTGCCTCGGGAGATTCCGCTTGTGCTCTGATCCTCAACATCCTCCTCTGAGGTCGTGATAGAGCTCGGCTCCATCTTGCAGCTGCCCGTTGCTAAATTGGATTTCAATTGATCCTGGAGCTGCTTTATCGAAATCGTTCTTTTCAGCGGATCCGTCGAGCTCTCCACTAGTCTTAGGATCTTCGTGCTAAGGATGAAGAATTTTAACGGGACATTTTTACTACATCAAAATATTTGTACAAGATTTTTAGGAATCGTTTAATAATAAAGTAGATTTAAAATCATTTAAGGAGCAGGCTTACCTCTGCGCATCAGAAGCACCGGCTATTCGCCCTCGGAAAAGAACGTTCGAACTGGAGGATGCCAACAAAGCAAATGAATCCCGAGATCCACTGAAATGGGTCATCTTGTCCATGTTCAAACCAACTTGTCCGTCGCCATTTATATCGAACCTCAGGAAAGCCACGAATGCGTTTCCGTTCAATAGGGACAATGCTGATATTGAGGGATCGTTGGCCATTATTCGCAAAATGGTGGGAATACCGACGTCATCAAACAATCTTTGGTTACCCATCTGAATATCCATCTGAGACATAGGAATTGCCACTATGGGCTCCAGATACTGTTTTACTGCCATAATCGTCCCATTGTATTGCATTTCGAAGACAATTGGCTGTATAAATAAGAGTTGAAAGATTTTAAAATATAACATTGCTCTTTTTTGTTAGAGACAAAACAATATGAAGTATTTTGAAGAAAAAAATATGAAATTTCTTATGTTTTATTATTCATACGCGACAGCGAGCAATATTTTTTTAGCCTTAAAGGCTTAAAAAAGAAGGAATTAGCAATATAATTTCGAAAAGGCTTACCTTGGACAGCTTTAAGCTAGACAGCACATACACATAAACCATTTTGCTTTGTTCGAAAAGTAGCACAACCGAAAACCTAAAATTTGAAAAGCACTAAAAAAATTCAAAATATCTACAAAACTGAATATTTGAAAAATAGTTGTTGTGAACTGTTACGAAACCAGGGGTAGAATGAACTTTGTAGAAATAGGCAGACCGTATTCCGATTATTACAAACTCATGGCACTGTACAACACTGGATTATTTTGTTTACGAAACGGTGGGAAGGCGAAACTGGGTGATTGTCGGATGAAAATATTAAGTAAAATCTACCGAAAATGGTGGGTAAACGCATCCTGGTCATCGACAATGGCTCCTACGAGTGCCGCGTGGGCTGGAGCGACTCCAAGGAGCCGGAGCTGCGCTTCCGCAACGTGCTGACCAAGCCGCGAAAGGATCGCAAGAAGGAGGCGGCTGCCACCTCCGCCGAAGGTTCCTCCTCCTCGGCGGCGCCTGTGGAGGCACCGGCCGAAATCCAGGTGGGCAACGACATCACCAACATCGAGGCGGTGCGGGCCCATCTGAAGAGTCCCTTCGAGCGGAACGTCATAACCAACTGGAATCACCAGGAGCAGATCTTCGACTACATCTTCACCAAGATGGGATTCGAGGGTCAGGAGCGGATCGATCACCCAATTGTCCTCACAGAGGCTCTGGCCAATCCCAACTTTTGCCGCCAGCAGATGAGCGAGCTGCTCTTCGAGTGCTACGGCATTCCGGCCGTTTCCTACGGCATCGATGCTTTGTACAGCTGGGAGCATCATCGCCAGAAGCACCAGAAGGTTAAAGATCATCTTAATAAGCTACATATTAATATTAAAATTTTTCCTCATTAGATTTCCGATGCCCTGATCATATCCTTTGGCTACAGCACCACCCATGTGATTCCCTTGCTTAATGGCAAACTTCAAATGGAGCACGTGCGTCGCCTAAACGTGGGTGGCTATCACATCATCACCTACCTCTTCCGGCTAATGCAAATGAAGTATCCCGTGCATCTAAACGCCATCACCATCAGCAGAATGGAGAAACTGGTCCATGAGCACTGTCACATTGCCGTGGACTACAAGGAGGAGCTGGTGAAGTGGGCACAGATGGAGTACTACGAGGAGAACATCATGAAGATTCAACTGCCCTACAATGCAGTCACCGCGACGAATGCCCTGCTCACCGCCGAGCAGAAGCAGGAGAAGCGACGGGAGCTGGCCCACCGACTGCTGGAGATCAAGAATCGTCGCGAGCGGGAGAAGCTGCGCGAGGATGAGCAGCAGTTGTTCGTCTACCACAAGCTGAGGCAGCTGTACGAGCAGAAAAAGCTGGACAAGTTTGAGCGGGCTCTGCAGCAGCAGCAGATTGGTACGCTGGAGGATCTGGACTCGCTGATTGCCACCATAAACTCGCGCATTAAGCGGGCACAGGACAAAGCGCAGAGTGCTCCGCGACCGAGCAAGCAGCAGGAAAAGCTGGACAAGATGCCCAAGCCACCGGAGGGCGTGTCCCAAGCCGACTGGCTGGCCGAGCTGCACGGCAAAAGAGAGCAGCTGCTGAATCGCAAGCAGGCCCGCCAGCAGCAACGTTCCGAGCAGGCCAAGCGGCATACGCACGCCGCTCAGGAGCGAATGCGCATCATCTCTTCGCTGGCCAAGAGCGAGAAGCGGCGCAAGGCGAACGGCGAGGAGGAGGACGACGGCTTCGGGATGAACGACAACGACTGGGATGTTTACAAGCGGATCAATCGCTACAAGGACGATAGCGATTCGGATGCGGATAATGAGCAGTTGCTGGAGTTCGAGAAGATCCTGAATCACTATGATGCCAACTTTGATGATGGGAATGCCAATGTGCAGGCCCAAAGTGCCGCCGAGAACTACCAGCTGCACTTTGGTGTGGAGGATATCAGGGTGCCGGAGGTTTTGTTCCAGCCCAGCATGATTGGCTGCTCGGAGGCGGGGCTAGCGGAGCTAATAGCCTTCGTGCTGAAGCTCTTTCCCTCGGCAGAGCAGCAGCGTCTGGTGGAGCATGTCTATCTGACCGGTGGATGTGCCCAGTTTAGGGGCCTCAAGGAGCGACTGGTGAAGGAGCTAATGGAGATGCGTCCCTTCCAGTCAAAGTTCGCCATCTACGAGTCGGATGAGCCCACTTTGGCAGCATGGTTGGGAGCATGTGTGCATGCTGGAGAGCCCAGTTTCGCCCAGACCTTGACCACGCGCCAGGATCACCAGGAGCGCGGCAGCGAGTTCTTCCGCGAGCACAGGGCCAGCAATCTCTTTTATCCTACACCAAAAGATTAACGTTTATTTTGAAAACCACCAACTAAAATAAAAGTTCCGTCACATCGTTGCCGAAGAGAAGGTTCCAAGACTTGGGCACCGTCAGCTTGAAGCTGCCATCGCCGCCATTCCTTAGCTGCAGGAAGTCCTCGCAGAGTTCGTTCAGTTCGCGGACGATCAGGGAGGCATCCATTGAGTTGTCGCCCTCGAGGAGGTAGCGGAATAGCAGCATGACCGGCACCTTTTGCTCGTCAAAGGACTTGAACAGCTGCAGCGCGTTGCCGCCGCCATAAATGGCCTCGCCCTTGTGCTCCTTCCACTTGATGAGCTCCTGGTTTCCCAGTTGGGCCGCGTGCGACTCCTTGAAGTTGTCGCTGGCGCGGTAGGCCCACGGCGACTCCTCGATCACGCGCTTCTCGAAGCCAAAGCTGCCGCTTAGGATGACCACACGACGGGCGCCCTGGAAAAGCTTCACCATTTCCTTTTGAAAGTGGCCCGTGTGGCGGGCAACCCATGGCGCCCGGAACTGCACCACCAGCAGCTTGTCCTCGGCGCCCTCGTACAGTTCGCAGGAGGAGACCTTCTCCTTGGGCTCGTGCTGGTAGGCGGAGGGTCCGTAGACCGGAATTAAAGCCGGATGTGTGAGGGATCCGATGCGCCGCAGTTCCTTGGACGCGATCAACAGGTCGCAGGCCAGCTGCGCCGCATTTCCCACGCAGATGCTCGGTATGATCACCGTGTACTCTGCCAAGTCCAGTTTGGGACGCTTGTCTTTTAGGAACAACATTATACGGGGAAATCTCTTGGAATCCGCAATGAGTTGGGAAGTTAATTCAAGTCAAAAATATGAAAGTAATGTTTTGGCGCTGCCGTACTTACCAATTACAGAAAGGTGGCAACGCCGGGCAGCGGCTTACTGGAAGGGGGGTTAGAAAAGCCAAAGAGAATAAACTGATTTATTAGAAATTGCTTGCGAATTTTATTCAACTATTTTAGGGACAAATGTTTTCAGTCTACTGAATTTTTAAGCAACGATAATTTGAACAGACGGTTTTGGCTAGGCTAATTTATAATTATTAAAATCTAATCTGGAGGGGGATTCCCTAAACTGTTGAATTGCTGAATTGTTGAAAATTCATCAAAAAATTTCAGCAATTAAGGGAACGACCCAAAATGGTTTCTGTTGAATTTTCAAACAGCTGTTATTTGTTGAAAAGTTTCACGGAACTTAAATCATGTAAAATTTGATTTATTATTGCTAGTTACTGTCTAAAAGTGTTACCAAGGTAAAAAGAACCACAAATATGCATTCTAAGTTGATTTTTAAATAAATAATGCGTACTGGTGATACTAAAATGTTACAGAGTTGCCACGACTTTTAAAAAAAGGTGACAACTCTGGCTTTTCAGCAATTCAACAAAATTTTCATCAGCCCCGAGGCTGTTGAATTGCTGAAATTTCTGAAAGTTGACTTTGTATGGAATAGCTGATTAACAGCTGACCAAAATTCAACAATTCAGCAATTCAACAGTTTAGGGAATCCCCCTTGGGTTTTCCCTAAACTGTTGAATTGCCAAAACTTCAACAGAAAATGTTAAACAGAACGACCTTAAATGGTTCTTGCTGAATTTTCAAAGAGCTGTTATTTATTGAACATTATCACGGACCTTAAACATGAAAAACTTGATTTTTTTATTGTTAGTAGTTGACTTTGTATGGAAAACCTGATTAACAGCGGACCAAAATTCAGCAATTCAACAGTTTAAGGAATACCCTGAATTTTTGGCTTTCGTCACCTTTCAGGAAATTATCTATTTTCAATGTTGATTTCGTCACTATCCGGGAAAACAGTATCGTCTTCTCTTATTTCTATCGATAGCCGGGCGCAGACGTTTCACAACACTGCTTATTTGCGTTTATTTTTTGCTTGCCAAATGTTTTGATTCCCGGCGTAAAAATGTCCAATTCCGTGAATATATCGGTGGAAACGACTTGCGAGAACCAGATCCGCGAGATTGGCTACGATGGCACCGAGTTATATCAGCCGTAAGTGTTCCCTGCACCCCACAAGCGCTCTTCTCAAGAAGTTTTTTGATTCGATTTTAGACCGCCCACTTTGTCCGAAAGTCTGGCGAAATGCGCGGCACGCATTGACTTCAGCAAGACGTCGCTGGACGACCTGAAGAAGGAGGAGAAGACGGCGGCGGAGAGGAGCAGCGACGAGGACAAGGAGGCCAATCAGTTCCAGGAGAGCCTGTGGCCCTGGGATGCGGTGCGCAACAAGCTGAAGGACGCCCTCACCGAGATCTGTGTGCTGTCCGATGTGATTTCGGTGGCCAAGGATAAGCGGTATTTGGTGCTGGATCCCCTGCTGGAGGAGCCGGACGACACCAAGCCCATTGTGCAGGTCTACAGCCGCAAGAAGGCCATCTCGCAGGCGGCCCAGGTGCTCCTCGGTGGCGCCGAACGCCTCCGAAATGCCCACAGTGAGCAGCGCAGCCGGAATGTCTCCGATTTCCACATAGAACTGCTGCGACTGCGACAGAATTGGCGCCTGAAAAAGGTATCCAATGCTATTATAGGGGATCTCAGCTATCGCACAGCGGGCTCTAAGTTCGGGATGAGCGGCACTTTCGAGGTGACCAAGGCGGAGGAGGCCGGCGATGAAGACTCACCCAGCTCCTCGAGCAACAACAACAGCGGAAGCAGTTCTTCCGGCAACAATGGCATGCAACTAAAAGCCAGCTCCGCCTTGCGGGTAATTGTCCCTGCGGAGCTACAGGGTGTGGCCTACATCAAGGTGATCACGCAGAAGGATCAGGAGGACCTGTGCACCGCTCAGGTGAATCTGATGGGCCACGGACCGAACATCACCGCCCAGGTGGGCGTGTGGCAAAAGACCCTGGAGTTTGCCCAGAATGTGCTCTTCTGCAAGGAGCTTTTCGCCCAACTGGCACGCGAGGCCATCCAGCTGCAGGCACCGATACCGCACGTGGTCATTGGCAACCAAATACGGGCCACCCTGCTGCCGAATATCCAGCTGATCATCTCACTCTGCCACTCTACCACCTTCGATTCAAGTCAGCCGGCGCCAATCAACGATCATGACCATGTGCTGGAGCACTCGCTGCATCAGCTGCTGCGCGAGGTGCACTACAAGAACTCCCACCATCCGTTTCCCCATCCGGCCAGTGCTCCGCTGGGGCCGACGAAGAAGCGCATGATAGCCGGACCAATGGCGGCGGATCGGGAGACGCTTTTAGATATGACCAAGTCGCAGACGATACTCGAACAGATCATCGCCCAGGCGCAGCACATCTTTATGCGCAAGCGAACGCAGTATGTGCTTGATACGCTGGCCCGGGATGTCAAGGATCCACAGATTGTGTCGCACTGGAACGCCATGAACAGTCCAACCATGTCGTGTGTGAAAATTAATATTGTGACGCATGGCTACGATGCCATTGGACGCACTTCCCTAGTGATCCACGTCAAGGAGCGCTCGCTGAAGTGCATCTGTCGCGATGGACGCGTCATGCGGCTCTCCTACGAGCCGCAGGAGTTGCGCGACCTCATCCTCTGCCAGATCAACTCACACCAGATCTCCTGCCTGATCAGCCTGGCGAGATGCATGGCCTGGACGGTGCTCTCGAATAGCAACCACTTGGGCATCGGCAAGGTGGAGCCGCTGGGCAATGCCAGCTCTTGTCTGCTGGCCTCTCCGAATAGCGATCGCATGATTGCCGTTCAGATCCGCTGCGATCCGCAGATAGATGTGAAGGTCTATATAGCGAGGAGTCCGCGCCAGGACTTCTTTCCCAGTCCGCTTGTGCCGGAGAAATTGTGGGAGAATCTGGGCGGAAATTTCAAAGAGGTTTGTCTGCCCTTTCTATAGCCTAAAAAACAGGGTTCGGAATTTCACACATATGTTAAAAACATTTAAAATTGTATCTTACAGTGTGTTTGACATGTGTGTCAAAAACAAAAGTTTTAAAACTTGAAAAATATTTGTTAGCACACACAGCTCACTTGTGTTTTCTACACAATGTGTTATTAACACAACGTGTTTTTTACACACTGTGAAATGAAAAAATTATATTTTATGGACATTAACGATTCGAAGGGAAAATGAAGAATCAATATTGGGCCAGGATATCTTAATTAATATTTATAGCTGTTACAAAGCATATATTTCTGACTTTTTTATGTCAAAAACTCATTGTGTTAAAAACACGTCGTGTAACACAAATAAACTGTGTGTGTTATTTATGTTTCTAACATATGTAAGCTACAATTTTTTACACACATGTCAATAATTTTTTTTGAACTTAACACTTTGACATTTAACATGTTAATAACACAAGTTTTTTACAAAGTGTGTTATTTTCCGAACCCTGCTAAAAAACCAGGAATCCTAATACATATTGTTTCATTCTTTCTTTCATTCCAGGTGAGGTTCGACAAAATCGAGGGCAAGAGCTTCCTCAACAAAATGGAATTTCTGATGGCCTCACTGACCAGCAACTCAGCCTAAACTAAGAGGTCCAAACGCATCCACTAGCTTATAAATCGATTAAGAACTCTGCGTTAAGAATTATTTAAAGTAAAAAGAGTTTGTAATTAGTTTTACATACAGATTGTTTGTTGGTCGCTCTACAGCTAATGCATTGTTTAGGATTAATGACTTTAGGTGCCTTCAGTTCAGTGCATCAGGCTGTAGCTGACGTTGTTTTTCCACAGGCGTGGCTGATAGTTGAGAGATACCGGCGACAAATTGCGCTGCTGCAAGACGGTGAAGGTGTCCTCCAGACTGACAACATTGGCCCGATTGGTGCTCTGTGTTTAGAAGATCTGGGATCAGTGATCTGTGGATAATTGCCTGTTAAACCTAGACTCACCCATCGTTCCAGATCGCAGAAGCTGATGTTGTAGTTCTGTCCGCGTGGCTGAAGTGTCAGCACCTCCATTTGCTCCGCCAGTGGCTGCGCCAGACGAAGATAGAGTCCTCGATTGGTGGAGAAGAGGACGGGCACTCGCTTCGCAGGAGCCGATCCTGCGCCCGTTCCGGCACCTGGAATCTGCCTGTAGGTGGGGCAATGGCTTATCGCCTCCTCCGGCAGCGGGGCATCGCCTCCGGCACCACTGACCCCGCCCACTGTCCGCATCAGCCCCATGCAAGTGTGAAAGCAGGACGCCACCTTGCCGCATTTACGGATTTCTCGATTTCCTGATCTCTCAAGCGGACCACGCGTAGCATAAAGTGCGGTGTATATGCATTGCTAACCTATCGATTTTGTGCAGCGACAAGCGCAACGTCAACCGAGTCTCCAAGTGTCCAGTGTCCAGCGAGTGTGTATATTAGCCCCCTCAATTTGTATGGGCCACAATCGAACGGAACGGTTGCCCCGACAACCAAATGGTGTCCATTCATTAGCCATGTGCGTGTGCCTGGCCAATTGTCTCGGCCAAAGGCAGATAGCCGGCCACACGCGTTTTCTGCAAAATTGTTCAATTAATGCCAGCGGCAACGGAAATCTTTTTGATGTATAAATGCAATCAGGAGATCGAGATGGTGCTGCGATTGCAATTAACAAGAATACTGTTTACCAGATTTGAAGCTATATTAATGACAGGCTATAAATACCCTTTAAAAACCCAAAGGAACTATTATTAGAACCTTATTTTAAATAATAAAACTTGTACTTCTTCTTTTACTTCTTACAAATATTGTTTTAAAACTGCGATCGGCTGCGATTGCAATTAACAAGAATACTATTTACCAGATTTGAAGATATATTAATGACAGGCTATAAATACCCTTTAAAAACCCAAAGGAACTATTATTAGAACCTTATTTTAAATAATAAAACTTGTACTTCTTTTTTTACTTTTTACAAATATGGTTTTAAAACTGCGATCGGCTGAGATTGCAATTAACAAGAATAGTATTTACCGGATTTGAAGCTATATAATTTCCAAACTATGAATACCCTTTAAAAACCCAAAGGAACTATTATTAAAACCTCCTTTTAAATAATAAAACTTCAACTTCTCTTTTTACTTTTTACAAATATTGTTTTAAAACTTTATTTCATTTTATATTATATTGTTGTTGTTTTTGTTTGTGTTGTGTACTTGTAAATTGTATAATTAACACTAAAATACTTATTTAAACATATTTCCATATTCAATCGGTTTTTTTTGTCGTATTCCCTTCATTTTTTTTCGATTTTTCCGTGTTACTTTTTGCCATTTTTTTGTTTTTGTTATTTGTGGTTTGGGCGACTTATACTTTTGTTTATTTAATTCCGCTCCATTATACATAGATTTTGTTTGTGGTTTTCATATAGATCCAGCAATTGAAACGCTCAAACCTTAAGCGTTAGTAAATAAATTTAACTTAGTCACTATTTAAGTTTTCTCGCATGTCGCATCATTGATGCGGCGTTCCATACTATAATTTAGATATAATTCATGCAGCACATACTATAAATTTCTTCACTCCTCGCTCGTTCATATTTTAAATTCCGACACATTAAACATATACAATATTTAAAATAGATTTTTTCCATTTTCTTCTGGTTTAATTATTTTATCAATTGATTTGTGTGTGAGGGGTGTTAGTGTGTGTGGTGTGTGTTGGTTATAAAGAAATTTTATTCACTTCTCTATGTGTATTTCTTTTGATTTGTTTATGTTGCTGGGCTTATAAATTAGCTTCGAATCTAATGCTACTATACGGGTTGCTTGATTTCTTCTATGAATGCAAAATGTGCTGTATCGCTAAAAGGATGCAAGCACAGACATATACATATTTATTCATATTTTATGCACTTTAAGACTTTTGTTTGTACAGCATTCGTGTTAAGTGTGATATCTTGAAGTAAACTTTTCATTAGGTTATGTTTCTACAATTGTTGCTGCTCGCTTGCTGCTTTACGAAATATATAATATATACTTTATATGCATATTAAACAGCTAAATCTTATAGTAATGCGCGTAGCTATCTTGCAATAAATTAGTGCATACAATAGGCTACATCTGTATCTGTTTCGGTCTATATATAATGTTTGCATATAGCTTTCTATATAATTTTCTTCGCTGCCCTAATGCACACACAATGCTGTGAGGAAATCGAAACGAGTGCAAACTGTTGCCGCTCTCCAAAGTGAGGGAAATCGTACAGATCGTGTCATATCTCATACAAATGGTATTGCTCGCCGTTGGAAGGAACTTAAATAACGATTTTGCATTTAGTTGTTTGGTTAAATTATAAATACATACACATACGACAAATGAGAGAAACAAAAAGACACAGAGCAGTACAACAAATACATTAGTTTCGAACAAACAAACAAACAAACACTGACGGGCAGACAGAATAGACGACCACAAAGTGCCAAGTTTACAATTTGTACAATGAGAATTAAAAAGAATAAAATTTGGGCCAAGCGAAACGATCTAGACATTGCCCATTCTGCAAAATGGAGCAGTTCAAGAAGAGTGCATGTGTATGAGTGTGGGCTACAGACTATCCATATACAAGTCCAATAATGCTAACTATATACTCAACTAGGTATTATGCATATCATTATAAATATTCCATTTGTTGCCCTGCCTAAGAAACAATTGATCTGCGATTATGATTTCTGCTTTTTTTTTTCGATATAAGCAAGTGAATGGGCATAAATATGGGAAAGGTGAATGGATCTTGGGAGGAGTTTGGTGTGAGGTGATTGTTTGCAACAACTAAACTAAACACAAGGCTCACTAAACTTGTTGCATACATATTTAACATTCTGTAAGTCGAACTACAAATATAACTTCAAGTTCTTTCAAAGATTTTACTTGTATTTCTAGTTCTAGATCGATTTACAGAAGTTTTTGTTTATCTCGAGTTTTGCTGGGAAACACTTCCATTCTGTCCTCCACTGCCCTGTGTCTTCTCCTTTCACCTTTCAGTGGCTTTTTGTGAGTTGAATTTTCGACCGAAAACTAAAATTAAGCATAGAATACAACAACGAAACGAACTTCTAAAATCTAAAATCAACAGCGAGAAATCCAGGACGAAGGACAGTGGCAGTGGCAACAGAACGCATACGTCCTTATGATCCTTTCACAATTTTACATTTGCTGCTTTAGTCTATTATATTTAAGGGTTTCTTCTTTCTTTCTATTTCTCATACATGCGTTAAATGTTAATTACTTTATGCTTATGTATCAAGGATTTCTACTACCGCGTTCTTATTTGCTGTGTGGTGTGTGTGGGTCTCGCCTCGCCTTCAGAAATTGTTGTTGCCATTGCTGAGCAGATTGGAGGCGGCGGCCCCAAGAGCAGCAGCCGCAATGGAAGCGGCCGAGGAGCTGCCCGCCGATCCGTTGGACGCCGCAGCCGCCACCACAGCTGCCACAGCGGCTGCCACCGTGTTGAGATGCTGCTGCTGCTGCTGTTGTTGGTGATGTTGTTATGGCATAAAGTAGTCCGGATGATCTGTGTCTTTCTCGAACCGCTTGGCCTCCTCGTGCATGCTCTCCTTGATCTTCAGAATGGCCGCCGATTCCGTTTGATCGTTCTCGCCGGGTCCGCCGAATCCGCCCAGATTGTAGTCGCCCATTCCGCTGCCCGAATCCTCGCGCGGCGTTCCAGGTCCTCCGTTGGCCGGCGAGTTCTTCATCCCATCGAGGCCGGAGCCATCGGGTCCTCCGCCGCCATTAAGTACGGGGCCCATTGAATTGGGCCCGCCGCCCATTGGACCCATTCCGCCAGGTCCTCCTCCACCACCGCCGCCATCTGGCCCACCGCCCATCGGGAATTCGGGCTTCATCAGGGCGTACATGCTGTCGCCGGGTCCGCCAACTGGTCCGCCTTGCGTGTTATCCTGCGGCGACGGCATAATGGGCGTTCCCGGTCCCGGCGGTCCATTGGAGCCTGGCCCGGGGCCATAGTTTCCTGGCGACGATGACGAGTAAGCATTTAGTGGCGCCGAAGCGTTAGGCTGCCATTGCGGCGGTCTGCCGCCCGCTCCGCCCATGCCCATGGGCGGCATTCCGCCGGGCCCAGGTGCCGGGCCACGCATTCCACCCGGACCGCCGTAGCCCATGGGTCCCATGCCGCCGGGACCGCGTGGCGGATTCATGCGCGGATTCATCGGCCCCATTCCGCCGCCTGGCCGGGTGGGATCCATGCTGTTGGGCATCATGGGCTGACCGGGTGGTCCGTTGAACTCGTTGCCCATGCCCTGCATACGCACGCCGGGACGTGGGCCGCCCGGATAGCGGGGTCCGCCCATGAACGGCGGCTGGCCGGGCATCATCTGCGACGGCGGCGGCTGTGGACTGGAGGCGTGCGTCGGTGGCGACGGTCGCATCGTCGAGTTGGGGAAGAAATTGGGTCCCATTGGTCCGCCGGGACCCATGGGGCCGCCATCGCCGCCGGGCGGCATTTGTCCCAATGGACTGGGCGCCGGTCCGCCAGCGTTGTGCGGGCCACCTGGTCCAATGCCGTTCACTCCGTAGCCGGAGCTCACGAAGCCGTAGTCGTGGAAGGCCTTCGCCTCCGAGCTGTGATCGCACTGATCCCGACGCTCGGGCGCCGCACAGTAGAGGTCCCAGAAGACGCACCACCAGGTGTGCAGGAATCCCGGCGGCTCGCCGAGCGTTATGTTCTTCTCCCATCGGATCTCCGAGAGGAATGTCTGTGCCGCCTTCTGGGCGCCGACGTGCAGCAGATATTCGTACACGTACAGGGCCAACTTTTCGCGGGCCTGGGCGTCCGATGGAACCGCCGATGTCTTTGATTTGCCGTACATTTTGTGTGTGATGTTGTTGTTGTTGGTTGCGTTTCTAGTTGTTGTGATTGTTATAAGGTGGTTTTCTGTTTTCGGAGCTTGGCTTTTCTCGCCTCTCTTTTTCGTCGCTAGTTCGCTGCTTTTTGTCTACCGACGACCACTTCCACCTTATTTAAATTTTTTATACTTTTTTTTATGTACTTTTCGAGGCTCTGTTTCTTCCTCCTCTTCGGTTGTTTCAGCTTCAGCTTCTTCGTCGTCTTCTTCTTCTTCTTCAGCGGCTGCTGCTGTTACTGCTGTGCCTGTGCTGTGCTGTTGTTGTTTTTTAATTGGCCGCGCTTTGGGCTCACGCAGCCGTCCGCCGCTCTATTACTTCCACCATTTTTAATAAAAATATATATTTTTACTTTGCCTTCTTTGCCCGGCTGGTTGAATTGAATGGGGATTGGAACGAACTGTGTGCCTTTACTTTTGGATTTTTACTTAATAAACTTTTTAGCGCGCTCTCCGCCGTTTGCGTGTGTGTGTCGCCACTTCTTCGTTTTACCGTTTATTTTTTTTCAGGTATTTTTTTGCCTGATTGTTGCTGCTTCTTCTTGCACAACCACTAAAAACAAAAAAAAAGAGCAGAGAGAAAAAGAGAGCATGAGTGAGAGAGCGAGAGTTTGTGTGTATGTGTGTTGCAAATTTTCGTGTGCCCGTGTGAAGTGCCGCTGTGTGTGTGAGCGTACTTGCGTGAGTGCGAGAGAGGAGAGGGAGCGCGCGCATTGTCGACAAAACGGCACAAGTGCCACACTAACCGTCAAAACTTTTGTACCACCTTGAATAAATATTGTTCAGTGTCTAAAAATTCCAGATTTGAAACTTTAATTAATGTACCCACAAAAACTTGAAAATTTATAGTTTAAAATAGTTAAATTGTTGAGTTTAGATTTTAATTATTTCTCTAAAATGGAATTTTTGTAATTAAATTTAAGGTTTAAAGCTGCAAACAGCTTATTTATTAAGTCTAGCAGATCATAGCCGTCAAATCTTGAATATTTTTTTAAAGTAAAATAAAATTTACACAAATAAATATATAACCCAGCTTAAAACGATTTCATTTTCCTTAAAAGCTTCCAACGTTGTCAGAATCTGTTTGAGATTTCCTCTGAATTACAAGATTTAATGTGTTCTGTTGGCCAATTTGCAATGGATAATATGAAGTGGTCATTAAATAGAAGACTTTTTGAACCGACTTTGGTGCGTCGCCCGTTCCGCACAGGTGAGTGAGTGATGCTCTTGGCCTCTCGGCCTAGTACATATGTATAGTACACAGGTAGGTAGCAAAAGGCCAACGGGCAGCATATTAGTCCGTCCGTCAGCCAGTCAAACGGACAATCAAATCACACTTCGTCTCTGGAGTCTACGAAATGCGGCCCCAAAATTCGATGGCACTGTGCGAGGGCGAGTGGGTGGTGGTGTTGGAGATGGGTGGGTGGTTGAGTGACAACCCGGAGAGACAGGGCGCGTGGCGATAAGGCCAATTGGCTCTACGGACAGGTGCATCAGTTACTAGGCACTATCGACTATATCCAATGGCTGGGAAAACTGTACGACCGATTTGAATACGGCCTCTGGGGAGCTCGCCGAACAGGCAAATGTACACAGAGAGCGAAACTATAGGCTGTCAGCTGTTATCATTTTAAGCAGAAGGTGTTATCGGAATCTATTATGAAACCAGGTGGGAAAACTATTCGAATTCCGAACCAAGTGATCACCGAAACCCGAGAAAAAGGGTTACGAGTACGAGTACCTAAACTAAAACTTGCAGTGACTACCAAATACCGGTCCATCTCTCTCTCTCTTCGCTGCTCGGCCTCTGCCGGCGTCACACACAACAACAAAAAATAAGTAAATCTACATTAGTGCCGATATTTCTTCATTGTTGTTGTCTAGTTGAAGACGTCATCAAATTGGGTACGCGGGTTTTCTCTCGCACGTTCTACTTTTTGCCACACACTCTCGCACCCGCACACACACTGGAACGCACAGCTTCACAGATGGCCGTTTGTTGTTATTGTTGCTGCTGTTGCATACGCACCTTTGCTGATTACTGTTAGTTTTTCTTTTTCTGCGATCGCCCTGCTAATACTTTTAAATACTATTATTTTGGCGAGTGTCGTGTGCTGCTGATTGCAATTTTATCACAAAATCAACAAGAAACACAAACACAAGTCGAGAGGCTGCTGCTGCGCTCGCGAAAGAGAGGAGAGAGTGAGAGATGAGAGAGCGGGACCGAGTTCGGTGCGAGAGAGGGAGGAGCGATACGGAATTTTATTACAATCTTCATTGATTTTTCGTATTCGTATTTGTATTAGCGGCTCCCCGGCTCTTCACATGTTTTGCGCGCATACATATAATTATTTATTATTAAACCGCGCGCTATTTTACTTCGTTTTTTTTAATTTGCTTTTTGCACCAATTCTCGCTTCGATTTGGACTGGTGTGCGTGTGTTTATTCGTTTGCTTGTGTGTGTATGTATATGTTCGTGTGTTTTTAATTTCTTTTCTAAACACACTTTTTCGCCTGCCGCCGCTGAGTTGTTGCTGTAATTTTTGCAAGTTTTCTCTTCACACGCCTTTCATTCGCCGTGCGCTTTGTCCGTGTATTCGACGATTGCTTTTACTGCCTGTTCGGCTGCTGCTGCTTCTTCTTCTTCCACTAAAAATCGGCTCTTTTTCGCCTGTACGAAATTTTCACAGCGAGCTATTGCGTTGAAATGCATTTTAAACGGATGTCATTTCGGAAGCAAACACAACGTTCACATTTTCACTTTGATTTCCATAGATTATTGGCTTGGTTAATTCGTTTAAACACGGCAAAATCGTATAAATATTTTTACTGCTACAAGTTGCGTCGTCGTCGTCTTCGTCTCGTTCGAGTATGACCGTTTGCGGGCCGTTTAAATATGCCGCTGGGCTTGGGGAAATGCACTAAAACTTACTGAAAGCACGCCATTTGCAGTGCTTTTAATTGTTGTTTTTTAATTGTCCAGTAATGTTAGGTGTTTTAAAAGGTGGTTTTGATTTGTTTAGAAAAGTCAATAGGTAGGGGAAGGATAATACAAGTTGGCAGAAGGTTTTTAAAAAATCGATTAATTAATGCATGGTTGCCAGACTGCTAGAAAAAGCTTTATTTGGAGTTGCCAGACAGGCCAGATGCTGGCAGCACGGAATATTATTTCATACGGTAAATTACAGTCGAAGGAAAGAGCTTAGAAGTGCGCGGAAGTAATACATTTGTGTGATTTTAGGACGGCAGGCCTAGACTATTGTTAACACAGGTGCCAATGGGTAAGTTTTCTGTCCTATAAAACCCTGAGCCCAACTTGTGGGCGGGGACTTGCAAAAGCCGGTGTAATTTTCATGTGTATGCACTTACATTTGTTGTTGCCCCGCTACTGCAGCGCTGTTATCTTAACATTGGCAGTGTGCCCAGGCGCCGGATTGTTTATGTTTGGGGCTCTGAAAATAACGGTGTTTGTTCGAAACGCATTCAGTGCGCAAGAACCTCCGCTTGCCGCCAAATGGAAACGATTCCCGTGGCACAAACAGTGCGGAAGTTTAGTGCAACTGCAACGTTCGCGATTGTTAAACGTGTGCTGTGGTTTTTTTTGTTGGTTCAAATTGGCTGCAATCCGCGCGATTTCGACGCCATGCAGTTTGAGCAAATCGACTGTTGATTGATACGACTCGAAGGGGAAAAGGATTAAACGGCTTTAACAGTTAAGTTCGAAAATAGTTGGAAAACAAATGGTTTTATAGTTTGTTTTAATATTTTTTCTTACTCAACGAGCACGTGATGCCCGAATTTTGCGCGTTCTCCACTAACCACTTTAACCCTTGAATATCCCATAGTTTAAGAGCTTCGCTTATTTTACATATTTGGCCTCTTGGGCTGAATATTCGAAAGTGTTGAAGCATCACTGGGCACTCAAATGGAACAAGTTGAGAGCCCCTTTTTTTCCTATACCCCCCAGTTGGCAATCGTTTACCAAATGAATAATGTCGCCTCTGGGACTGCCATTCCCCCCCATTGTCAATTTTTATTTGACACATTTTATTGGGCAAATCGTTTGCCCGGTAATCCTTTTGCATTTCTAATTCTGTCAAAATCGAGGGCGACATTTCCCAAGGGTCGCATTTTTTTTCCCGTTCACTCTAAATTGGAATCGAAATCAGATTTTGTGCTGATGTCTGTTTGTTTGCGGCCAGGGCCCCCAGCTCTCCTGTTGACTTTCGTTTACAAACATTAGTTTTTGCAATGCTGGCGAAATTTTCCCAAGCCCCCAACACACACACCCATTTGATGTCCCATTCAATTAGAAACATTTCGAATTGAAAACACTGAATTGCATTGCTTTCGAGGAGTCAGCCATGCAGCATCTGCAGCTGTCGCCATTAGTGGAAAAGTTGGTCCCCAGTTGGTGCCCACAAATCTGTATTAATTTACATTTAATGTGCAGCGCGATAATCCCACTGACTCATAACTCTCTGCAATTGAATTAAGCTTTAATTAATGGCATTATCTTGTTATTTTTATTCTCCCATAACTAATTGCTTGACAATTTAATGCTTTCTGCACATTGATTAACACACTCATACACACTCGTGCTGGAATAATTACAGCAGAGAAAAGGTGAAGAACAGGAGAATTAAATGGGATACCATGATGATGGTGCGAGTGCTTTTTTACCGTGTCATTTACAGTCCAACTTCTTTAAGGCGAACCCCATAATCTTTATCTGTACTTTGGTTTCATGGAAATGTACAAACCTTTTTCAATTTTTTAAAATATTTAAGTTGTAGGTTTAATTTTTACAAAATTATTAGATTTATTTTGTTTAGGCAAATCTTTATGATATTTTAAGAACTGTAACTATTTTATTGTATTATATTAATACGAAAATGATTCCAAATGTTTTAAGTTTAAGCTAAATTTAATCAGACTTTACTTTTTGGAAGAACTCCGCTCTTTATTGTTATTCAATTATGCGGGACTGGCTGAAAATTCGCTTTTGAGTAGTTCCCCTATAGTATTTTTTACGGATTAAGCGCATGAGAGTGAATAATTTGTGGAAGGGATAAGTACTTATCGTCGTTGGACCTTCACTCGTGCCGCTTGTATCGTTTTGTGGAGCAGCTGCAACTGGGTTTTTGGCATCGCACTGACGCAAGCATATTTCAGTGGATCACCGGGAGGAGGAGGAGGAGGAGTGGGAGGATGAGGATGTGGATGGTCGGGTGCTGCGGTCGTTGCCAGCCAGGATTTATGAAGCCCCGCACTCCGATGGCAGGCGTTTCCGTTTCCGCCTAGCCTCCTCCTCGCTCCTTCCGCCTTCCGGCTTTGTCGTCTTGCAGCACAAGTACTGGCAGTATTTTCAGGTTGCTGCACTTGTAATTCAATTGCCTTGAAAAGCGGCAGCGGGCCAAAAGGTTGAATTACAATCGAAACAAACCCCCTTTCGATGCCCTCGCAAGTGGAACTAAATGGTCACCGGTATTTGGATTAGTGAAAAATTATAGTGAAAAGTACTTTATTAAATTGAATAACTGCAAAAGACTTCAAGTGGTGACAAATTTGAATAGGAATGCGATTATCCAACGCCATAAATTAACAATGCATTCATGAAAACTATCAAATTTTGGCATATGTTGGGTGAATATTGAAAATAGAAATGTTTTGAATGCAGACTAAGTTTAATCAAATATAGTATTTGTTCCCAATAGACTAAATATTTTCAATTAATGCACTTCAAGAGCTAATAAAAGCTACTATAACCAAGGCTTTCTTAATTATAAAACGCTCTTTTCTTTTGAGTCTTTTCTTTTCACCCAAAAAAGTAGGCAACATTTATTCGTATGCCATACAAATATCTCATATACTTTCTTGCATATATTCTGCATGGCCTAATTAAAGCTTCGCATCCACAGTTAATTAACTTAATTTTGATTAACGCGCCAAAATTACATTTAAATATTTCATTAGCCACGGCGAACCGGGGAACTTTTGGCACACACAACTTATTTATTCACACATTCACACTTTGGCCACCGCAAGCGAGCGTCCAAAGCAGTGGGGAAATTGGGAAATGGAAAGGGGGAAAGCCCGGTATGTTTTTACAATTTTCATAAACGCATGAGCGGGGAAAACGAAAAAGTTTCACACGCATACAGCTCCCGGCAGATTGTGTATAGTTTAAAACAATGGGACCTTTTCCACGAGATGTCCAGGATGTCCAGGATTGTCCGGGCTGTCCAAGTCCACTGAGGCCGAGTGGGCAGAAAAGCCACAGTGTAAACCCAAGGAAATGCGAGATGAATTGAAAGAGCGACCTGGAAGAGGAGGAGTAAAGTCAGAAGCATCCATGCGTGAAACGCAACCTGCGGACAAGGGAATGGGTAAATGTGGCGAACCGAAGGGATTACATAAAAGGAAGAGCCTTACGAAAAATACCGCAGTCCAGTAATTCAGGTGCAACGGGATTATCTCTAAAGTACAATCATAATTTAAGATATATTTAACTCCAATCCAGATAAACAAAACCATAGGATAGCTTAGGTATCAAAGGGCTGCAAAAAATGTCTAAATTCTCCATATTTGGCTGGCACCCAAGTCCTGGAAAATACTTGAATTTCGCATTCCCAGTGGGCCCACTATTTGTTGGCTCACTGTGGCCAGTTGTTTGGCGGTCATGCATGCATCCTGTGCTTCATTTAAAAGTTATTTAGAGCTCTGCCGATGACATGGCATGGGGACATGTCCTGCGGATTGCCGAGGAAAGGGAATTTCGCTGTGCGTGTGTCCCGATTATATTTGCATGAGTGCGTATTGAAGTCAGGACTTGGCCTGCGGGAGGAGTTAAATGCAGAGTGGATCAGCGGGCTGGGACGCTGCGGGTATTTGGGCAGACGGTGACAGCCGGAACGAAAACATTGCGAGTGTAAACAACCAGGACGTGCAGCAGGATGCACAGGATGCGGAGGATAAGGGGGAGCTCTACGTGCAACATGCAACAATAGCATTAAGCTCGCAGCGGAATCTCATTTGGAAGCATTGCAAAATACGCCACATTTCTCGCATGCAAATGGGGAATGGGTAGTGCAGAATGGAAAATGGGGGTCTGAAAAGTGGCAGAATGGGCAGGCGTCGTGTGGACCGCAGACAAAAGTTTCCTAGGCTCATTTCGAGCCCCCATCGGAGCAGTCCTGCTCCAATTTGCATAGTCATAGTTGCAACTTTGTCGGGGGCATTAGAGCTTCGTTACTGCGTTTGTTAGGCGCAGTGCAGTCAAGGAGATCAATTCAAACAGCTTTTCGGAATAGAAAATAATCTCAAGAACCAGACTGCAGTGAAGAGACCAAAATGATTAGGTGATTTTGTCGACCCTAACTATTTTGTTCTCAAATATAAGTAACCAGATTTAGAAAATGTTCTTCTGTACTATTTTATAGGAACTGTTCAGGTTCGACAAGTAGTGAGAGAGCGCTAAAATCGAGTACTTCGACTATCAGATACCCGTAAATCAGCTAAAAGGAAGTGCGAGGGAGATAAAGATATGCAGTCGTCAAAGCTAGTGACGCCATCTATCGGCTATTTCATTTTTTTGTTCATAACTTTTTAATAGATTGTCCAATTAAAATATTTTCTTTTTCATTTCTAGGCATTCATAAAAACAACCAAATGGAAAATCAAAATATTACATTAGTTTCTTTAAAATGAAAGTCTCAAATAACTTTTATTTACGGTCCACGATTTAAGCATTATTTTTCTTAAAACAGTACCTTAAATAATTTATTAAATAAAAAAAAGCAATTATTATTTGGATAATTACAGCATAAATATTTAACAGATATATTTAGTTTGAAAAGTATTCAACTTTCAAATATATTTAGGTAAACTATATCTGTTTAAATATTTTTAATGTTTTATCTGGACATTTTACATTTCTCTGAGTGTACAAAGTTATCAAATATATTTTAAATGTCTGTTTAAATGGTTATTCAAGTTTATCGACTAGAATTAAATTTAATATTCACACCAGACCACACAAGTTAATAGAGAAAATTCAGCAATAAAGTGTCCATTAAGCCGACACTTGTATTTGCACAAATTTAAATCGCCTGAAGCGCTTTTCGTGTTTGTTTTTGATGCAAATTAAAATCTAAAAGCAGCGTGTTGGGGCTTCGTAGTGTCGAAATAAACCCAACCGTTTGTTTGTTTGTTGCCGTTTCTGATGCTCACACACTTTGCATTTCCATTTGAATTTACAGGATGCAAAATGAAAAGTCGGCCCGCCCCCAAAAAACCATTTTATGCAAAGCGAAGGGATGGTTATTTGCTGTTGCACTTAATGCATTTGAATTGTTATAATTTGCATGGTAATTCTCGCTTTGGCCCGAAATGAAATTAGTGAAAATATTTTAATTGCTGCACGCAGACGGCAGGAGTTATGCAAATGCGGCCAAAAGGCAGGGGAAAATTCTGCTTGGAAAATATGGAAATTTTGTGCCTTTTCGCTTTGTTTGTCTAAACTTAAATGGGTTTTCACTGCGACTGCGGGAAATGGCTTAGGAAGAGTTAAATTTGACTTCGGCTTTGGCTTTGGCTTTGGCCCACTTCCGACAGCTAATCTCCTTGCCAGCTCCTCCGACATCTGCCTTGGCTTAATTAATTTTTAAGACATTTTAGAGGAAGCGTAGGGTAGCAAAGCGGGGGGTTGTA